GCCTACGCCGCATACAGATGCCACCGATTTTGTTCTCTTAAGTTGCAGGAGATTCGCAAATCTGGCTGTAATGAGATGTAGTTGAGAGCCTGAATCTAAAAGCGCACGACAAGGAACAAGCTCGCCAAACCGATTCCTTGCCAGAACCACTGCGGTAGCCAGGAGCACAACATCGCTGTGCCGATCCTTGGATAAGAGAGTAGTGGCTGGTGCTGAGGGCTGAGGGATGGTCTGTACTCTTGATGTTGAAGATTGTTGATGGGGCGGAATTGCTGCCTGCGATGTGCTGGAGTGGCCGAGATGAAGAAGCGTATGATGCTTGACTCCACAGACCCGACAACTGCGCGAGCCACATTGTCGCGACTGATGACCTCCCTTGAGACAATTCAAACATAAGCCAGCCTTTCGGACCTCATTCAGGCGAAGACTAGGAGACAAGTTTGCGAATCTTGGGCATTTGTAGATTGTGTGCTCAAGATCATTACAAAAATTGCAACTGTGAGTACTGTGGCCGGTTACGAGAAATGCTGATCTACTGGTAGCAACCTTACTGCAAGAATTCATCGGCTTACTTGACGAATAGTTTGTAAGAGCAAATTTCATCGATTCCAAAGTACGGCAACGAAGCTCAAGAAATGAGGAGACTTCTTCATATCTGGGTATCTGAAGAGCCGTCTCTGAGTTGTCCAATTTCTCTTCCCATTTAGCTTGTGAGGCGTCATCAAGCTTTTGCAGCAGTATCTGAGCAATCATGGCACTGGCTATCTGCTCTGTTGTGCCCAGACTACTGAGCGCACGCATATGGACATTGAAGCTGTCAGATAGCTCACGCAGCTTGATTATGGATCCGTTTTCTACTCTTTTGAGACCTAAGATCTTTACGATGTGGGCCTGGAAGATTAAACGTCGGTTATCATATCTCTGCTTTAATAAATTTATGGCAATTGTATAATTATCATTAGAAATTTCCAAAGAGCGAACCGTATCCAACGCTGCGCCATCGAGGCAGGACCGGAGGTGCTGAAGTCTTTCCATATTGCTGATTTCTGGCCGACTTTCAATGATTGTAGAAAACATTGAGTAGAAATCAGCCCAATTAGCATATCCACCGCTGAACGTAGGTAACTTTAATGGCGGCAACGCAGGTGCAGCCTGCAATCTGGGAGCGGATGCGCGAGGAGGGTCACTTGGACGACTAAACGTGGAACTATGATGCACTTGAGCAGTACGACTTTGCACTTCGGACATTATTGTTGACTGCATGACCATTATTAAATCATCAAAGTCAGTGCGCAAATTGCTGGACATCTCAGTAAAGTCGAGCTCCTCTAGACTTTCATGGGCCTTGCTAAAGGAGTGGCTTAGCTTGTCGATATGCTCCAGTAGAACATTTAGAGTGCTGTCACTGTGATCGGCAAGAGCATCTGAATCGACCTTGGATTGTAGCTTTTTTACGCGTTCAAACACCGACTGTACCTTGAGCTTATAAAACCGCACGCGATCTTCGGGAGCAACTGCACTAGCATCTAAATTCGCCATGACGAGTACAGCAAGAGCAACACGATAGAGTTCAAAGTCGTTGGTGCGAGCGCGATTGCAAGAGTAAGTAAATGTATATATAGCGCAGACACAAACTTGGAATAAGTCGTATTTGTCGAGCAGAGTACTTGCAACTTTAATAAACTGGCAAAGAATTATATTATGGTACTCAAATAATATACACGTATGAATTGTTGCACACCGGTACGATTATTATGGACGCGCTCGTATCGCAGCCGTGGCGAAAAAGTGCAATGTCAACGAAGAATAACGGCAAGCATGTAATTACACTGTGCTTATGTAAACTTAATCACTTATAGATTGAAGCTATAGAACACGCAGTCACTAACCATAGACATAGTTCAGAAATTAGTTGATTCTTTATTAGATTGTCATTTGCAGAAGTTTTCGCATGTGTACTACTTTTACGGGCGCCAGTGTATTGCAGACCGAACGAAAGAGTGTCTGGCGAATTGGCAAAGTAACGGCACGCAACTAATCGCTATATACACTGCTTATGTTCACGGGTGTATGTATGTATGTGATGCTGTCAATATATATATGCAAATATGTAAAGAAACGAAAAGAGAATCACGTCGGGGTCACCAAATGTTGAGCTATCGAGATTTTTCGAATAGCTTTAAATTATTAAACGATTGAATTTACTTAGTGATTAGTTTATTAGCGATTATTTGAGTTTACAGAGTTTATGTGATAGACGCGAGCAAGCGACTAGGCTGTCGTGCTGTCCGCTACTATGTTTGTAATAGTCAATCTAACACAGCATCTGCTCTAAACAAGAGTTAATTGCATACTAACTACAATGTACGCGAGCCGGCGGATTAAGCTGAGCCGGTGCGTGGGTGAAAGAGACAACGCAAAAGGGAGAGCGTGATCTCCGTTACAAATTCTCTTACATGATAACATACTCTATGAACTGCCGCTCTTAATTACAATGAAGCGATGATTGCTGAGCCCAACACTAACTATGCAAAGAAAACAAAAAAGACTTGTCTACATTTTGTCATGTTTCACATATCCATTTCATTAGTCTTGTTTAGGTGAGGCACCCTGTATTGGCACCATGTATGGGGTTTATTCATGGCTTCTGTTACAGGCTGCGCACTATTTACGTATGTGTGTACGATTGTGGGCGTAATTGCAGACGCGCCCACTATTAAAACTTGGCGCATATTTATGCAACACTCCAGCACGAAGTAAAAAACTATAAAAAACGCGCAAGCAGCAGCAGCAGCAGCAGCAACAAAAACAACAACAACAGCAACAAGCAACAACCAGCAACAGAAGGTAGCGAGTAACGGTCACGTTTATGTTTGCAGTAGCGTGCATAAATTTCTCTTTGCGTATAGGTGTATGTGTGTGTGCGTGGGTGTGTGGTTGTGTGGGTGTGACGCTGTGTGTAGGTGTGTGGGGCGTGACGTACACTGGAATGTTTATTAAGTTCATGCTTAATACACTGCGCCTCTTACATGCCTTACTCTCTCTCTCTCTCTCTCTCTCTCTCTCACTCTCTCACTCTCTCTCTCACTCTCTCACTCTCTCTCTCACTCTCTCACTCTCTCATTCTCTTCCCCACTCCCTCTCTCTGTATTACTATGCATGTGATTTTATGCAAATAGAATGTCAATGTTTGCTATAAAGTGCCGAACTCCCGAACTGCATTAGGTATGCGCCATGTGCGCCGCCGGGCATGCAACGTAATTAACCACTAAATTTGATTAAATTATTGCCAAATACAATCAAGGCTAAGAGCAACACAAATTAACTGCTCATTGTTGTGTCTCGCTCTATTAAACAGCCTTGTGAATGGGCGCCATTTGGTTAAGAGTTCTGCTCAGCTGCTTGAGCTGCAACGGAATGCCCTTAAAGCGTACCGAAGAATCTAAAGAATTGTTGCAATAAAAACACAGCACAACAACAAGAAAAACAACAAGAGCGGCAGCAGAAACAGTGGCATAGCCATAAAAGGCATAACACGTAGTGCTGAATGTGCACTTGAGCGACAGGGCAGAGGACAGGCGTGGGAGAGGGGACAGGGAGGGGTATGGGCGTAGCATCGGCAGCTAGAAAAGGGTGTCCGTGCACAGGAAACTCAGCCAGGCAAAGGCATATGAATGGGGCATTTTATGCAGTCAAAAAGTAGTTTACACGTTGTTGCACAATTTATGTTTGTGCAACACGTAAGACCATTGTGCACAGAGGCACAAGCCTCTGGAGATAAATGTAGACATACATATGTATGTATGTAGGTTTAGGGTTTCGTGCGTGCTGCTGCTGAATACCTTGAACCTTTTGTGCCGTCTCTGTCCATAATCTGGCTTGCGTAACTTTAAAAACGAAGAAAGAAAACCGGAGAAACAGCATTCGTTTATTTGTTTGACAAAAATTTCGTTTCAATTTTGCTCGATGGGCGTAAAAACGATTTAAGTCAATTGAAGAAAAAATCAATTTCAAAAGTTTTTAAACGAAGAACTGGCACTTAATCTTATTTCGGTATGTACGTATATATAAAAGTGAATATTTACATTTGACAAAATATTTGCCAATCAAAAGAGAGATGACACAAATATCAAATTGTTTGAATTGCTGAATTGAATGAATATTATTTATTTATTGAAGAAAAATTATATTTTTGCCAAAAACGATTTCGAATTTAAATGAGAACATAATCATTTATTGCAATGCCTCCATAGAATTAAATAATTACTAAAAACTAAACAAAACGCATAATAATAACAATGAAAATAAAATAAAATATTCTTGAGAATGCCCAAATTCTACTTTGTAGCTATTTCTATGGCAAATTCCGCATACTTGGTCTCTTTATTGTTATTGTGTGTTGGATTTTTTGCTCCGTTTTTGCTCTTGCCTCGCTGCGAGCGAACTACAAAGGCGCGCCCTTAAATGCAGCTTGTAATTTTCATTTAATTTTCAGTGTGGTTTCGTTTCTTTGTTTTTCGTCTTTCGTTTTTCGCTTTTCGTTTTTCGTTTTTCGTGCGCTGAAAATGTTGCCGTGTTGACCCTCCAAAAGGGCGGCCATTAAATGTCGCGACTCGCGCCAACTTGAGGCCCAAGAAATTGGCTATAGCTATGTCTGAGCAGCCAGCAGTATGGATGTAATTAGCCGGTCTCCGGCTCTGATCGCGTGTGTGGCAGTAATCCTTCTGGGTGGGTCCACAGAAGCCGTGGCGAACGTGTCATAAACCGGGGCACTAATTCTGAACAGGGGAGTGCGGGGAGCAAGGACTAGGACTAGACCTCCCCCCAGAAGAAAGGCCAGTTTTAAGCGAGGCCAATGCCAGTGCGCTTTCAGTTCTAATTGCTGGTCGTGTGGCGGCGTGTGGGGCAGGGATAAGTGCTTACTGATACCAGCTACAAGACGCTGAAATGGTGTACTCCATTAATCACAATGAGCGGCAACAAAAGCAACACAACGAGCGTACATTAAAATTAAATTTGTATTTTATAACGAACGTTAGGGCGAAAAACTTAGCAGTACAATTTGGCTAATTTGCTGCAGCACGAGCGACTGCCACGCCTACTTAACCTTGTTAATAGGCAGATAGGTGGAGCTAGGCGAACCGCCTGCTGGCTGCAAGTAGGCAGCATTCGGCTCAATCTCCGAGACGATTGAGGCTGCATTCCCATTGCCTTGTGACTCAAGGCTGACAGCTCCCGCTTGGCGTTCGTTGAGCAGCTGCAGCGGCTGCTGAGCCACCTGCCTGGAGGAAAAGTCAAGCACTGGCGCAATGCCCGCATTGTGAGACGTTGAGCTGCCGCCCAGGCGATCGTACTCCTGCTGAATGGTGCGCTGCGCATTAATGGCATCCTCTGGAGTACGGTATTTGACGAAGTGCACTTCCGGCTTCCTGGCGTTGATGCTATTGAGGTTCTGCAGCTTATTAGCCAGGCTAGTGAGATCGCCCTGCTTGGTGAGCACGTAAATGGCCGTCTGCTGCTCGGCCGCCTGTTTGGCCAGCGCCACGGCTGCGTTCTCCAAGCCCTTGTTCTCCGGCGCACGAATGAAGAGCACGCGCAGATTTCTCTTCAGCGAGGCGGCCAGGTCGCCGACACTGCGGTTGTCCTCAAAGTCCGACTCGGGTGCAGAATATGTGAAAAACTCCTTGTTGAACTCTGTATTCCCGTCGGTGTAGTCCGGCTGTTGGCTGTTGGTTCCATAGTCACCAACTGAGCCACTAGATAATGAGCCACCGTTAAGTGAGCCAGCGGTTAGAGAGCCACCGTTTAGTGAGCCCCCGGTTAGAGAGCCACCGGTTAGCGAACCATCCGTCAGCGAGCCGCCAGATAATGAGCCTCCGTTCGACAAATTGTCAATGCCTAATCCATAATTATATCCGCCTACGTCTGCACTGGCTGTCGCCAGCAAAGCCAACATCTGTGATTGCAAGATATACGAATTGAAAATCAATGAAACTTAAGTGAAAAGCTCTCACGGTGAACTTACAATAAATGCGCGCATTTTCCACGGATGCTTCAAAGTCCAATTTTCGCTGTCACTGTGCACGATTGCGCCTCGAGGTGTGAAAGGCGTGTGATGCTGCCCGTGCGGGCGATGGGCGTTTTTATAACCGGCAGCAATGGGCCAGGCGCCAGACGCCGTTGAAGATGCAGATTGCGCAGTCGATAGCCGCTGAGACTGCGTTTTTGTTGTGTTATTTTATTTTTTGGCCGTTCATCCAGTATAGCGCTGTGGATGAGTTGTAAGCGAGGTAAAATGCAAAAGCGGCTAGCCGTATCCGCCAGCGAATTAGTTTGCATAAATCAAAACCCTATTGCAAATATCGCTGAATCAATCGAGCCGAATCGCGGACATGGAAATGGCGGAAAAAGTGGAAGCACCGGTTCGAGATGTCATTGGGGCGAATAAACGTTACCCATATGGGGCCAATCCCAAGCGGCGGGGGGTGGGCGGCAGGTGATAGCCGGCAGGTGGTGTATTTTGTGTGTTGCAGCGGCTGGCGAGAAATTTGCATTCTTGGCCATTTTGTGGCCATGTTATTAATTAATTATAAACGTTCACACAAATTCCAAAAATATTACAGCACTGTGACAACAACAGAAATGTCAACACTAAAGCCAAATAGTTGCATAGCCAGTGATTCGGAAATTGAATTGAAATTAAATATATGCACGATAAATATTTTATAATGATGGCAATCGATTAGCATGACAACAACAGTGGGAACCGCCTGCTGCGGACATTGAATTAATGTAATGCAAAGTCATTTCGTTAGCCCGCGACCACTGTAACTGTATTCGTCTTTATTGTTTGGCCAAAGCAGATAACAAAACCGTTTCGTAAAAAAAAAAAAAAAAAAAAAAAAAATTATTAAAAAAAAAAATAGAAAATAATAGTAATAGTAATAATAAAAACAAATACAGCAAAACAAACAACAGCAACACAACACCAAATAAAAATACAAAGCATAGGCAGTAGTTATGCAAATTAACAAGCGCTTCAAGTATTTTATACATTTTATAGTAACGCATCATTTCAGATTTATTTTGTTCGGAATTAATTTCATTCTGCATATACGTATGTATGCTGTGACATCGCAAAATTTGTATTTACTTTTGCTGTGAGTGCTAAAAACTGATTGAACACAATTCGTTGATTCGATTCGCGCTGCTGATTCACGCGAATTTTACGAATGAAATCGCGTTTCACTGCAAAATATATTAAATTCTGTTTTAACAAACTTGCAAAGAGAGTTTCGCATTTTACAAGTTTTTATTTTGTTCACTTGAATTATTGGCTATTACCTTTTAATAAAATATTTTTAACATATAACATATGACCATTTTTACTTTATCATCAATGAAAGAAAAATACATTTTGGTATTTTTTTCTGTGTTGAATTTTGTGGCATACTTTTACACATTTTGTCTACTCCGAAAATACGGTTGCATTTCTTTAGGCTAACTATGTAAATAGGGCTTCAGTCGTCATGTTGCCATTATTGCCTTTTTATCAAACATTCTAAAATATGTGTAATGCGATTATGAGACTAACGGCTGTTTAATTTAACTCATCAAACTGTGACAAGGCCCGATCGAAATCAGTAGAAATGCAATTTAGTTAATTGGAGGCATGTGAGTTCGCCAAGTGGCATATGTACACACAATATTGAAATAAGTGCGCAATCAGCCAAAAAGCCATAAATGTGCAATTAAGTAAATTATCCCAGTGCTGACCGCAACTTGTCAATTTGACGAACGGAAACAAGCAGCCATAAGTGCAGATAAAACAATTACACAAACTACATTTGAAGAGCGAATGCTCGCTTTCAGCAGTTAATGGAGCTGAATATTCATAGACTTTTATTTTAATAAAGTCATTTCAATATAGTTTATTACTATAATTAAATTATTCGACAATAAATGCTTGAATACAAATAAATTAATTCATACATTACAATTTACATTAGGAAGTCGGGGTATACTAATTTCGTTATTCTCTATGTAACAGACGGAAGAAATCATGATTGAAACATATCAGGGCGGCTAGCTGACTCTATATAGTTATATCTGTTTATCCATGCTTTAATTTCAGAAACTGAAGTTAGAGATTTGCAATTCTATTTTAGTTTTTCTTACAGCTCTCGCAGTCCTGATTTATTTAAAAAAATTTAAAGCAAATCTTACCGAATATAAAAATAATCTGAAACTATAATTAATTTGAGTTTAGAGTTGTTTTACTTGTTTCACAAAGAAATTGAAAACTTTATTCAAATTTAAATATTTGTTCATTGTCATTAGAAGCAATATAAATGTATCTCCTTTTTGGGCATAATTTCCTTCCGGAAAGTAAATCATACGAGGGTCAAGAATATTTACATTTAAAAGACCTTTTCGATATTTAAGAAAATCTCTTTGATTATGTTTTAAATTAGAATTCGGCTAGAGGAATAAATATTTGTAATAAATGTATATATTTATATACAAAATGAGCCGTTCAAATATTAAACGGAAGTTCATCAAAATCGCCCTTATTTGTTAAGGCTAATGCCTGTCTGCGTTGATGGATCCTTTGCACTTTAGTCGGAGTAACTTCTAGAAAATGTATGCATATTGTATGTATGTTTTAAGGTCTTCTTTAAAAATTGCTTAATTTCCTTTCCCGTTTATGTTGATATCTTATGTACATACTTATATACAGATTCACTAAACGCAATTTACTCTTCCAGAGTATCACTGATTCAGAGTATAAATCTATATATGTATGTATGTATGAGACTGTAAAATTACTCAGTTACCGTACTCGGTATCCGTTGCTCCTCGGCACGCGAAGGCACTTTACGTTGCATAAATAATTCAATAGACCGAAATGCCGCGACGCGACATAAAACATAAGAAAAAACCTTCGCTGTCAGTGTCAGTTATTATATGATGCCCATGACAGCCAGTGTTTTTGTCGTTGTTGTTGCTGTTGCTGTTGTTGTTCTCGCCGACCTCAGTTGACCCAATTTAAAATGTGATGAACCTTTGTGTGCGTGTGGTTAAGTGTACTCTGTACCCACCGAACCACGGGGTATGCTCACTTTCTGCAGCAGTGTTGTGTAACAAGTTTGTGCATGTACCCACATAACTTTTCCGAATTCATGAGCTGAATCCAAATCAATGTGTTAACATTGTTATCTGCAGCTGAGTTCTGTCTGCACGTTAGATCTTGTCTAGCAATAATTAACTTGATTTGACATGGAAATTTGAATAATTTGTGCTTTAATGGAAAGGTCTGTCGAACTAAGAGCAAAGTTTCCCAAAGTGGAAGTGCTAATCATGGTGGTGTCTGCCTTGACCACTTTTACTACTGTTACCAACTTGCGGCTAGCTCTACTTCCGGTTTTCGATTACAAAGGTCTTTGAATATAAGAAATTCATGGGATTTGGCACGTAACCGTTGCGTTGCGATGTTGGGCGTTGTTATCGTTGTTGTTTTTGTTGTTGTTGTTGTAGCTTTTGCTGTTGCTGCTTGTTGCTGTTGCCCTGCTGTGGGTTAAGTTGCTTTTCTTGTTTCTCGGGAGAGTCCTTGCGTTCAAAATGAACTGGCTGTGGGCCCGGTTGCAAGAATATCGGGCATGTCTTTTTTTTTTCATAGTTCAGGGTGTGTGCCGGCAGGGAACGTAGCCTCTGGCCATAAATTCTTAAAAGGATTTGTTGCTTTATGCTGTGTGCCCTCAGCTCATTTGCTTGCGTTAGAAAACAAAATAAAGCTGAAACTTTTGCGGCCGATAGACATATAAGCCAATAACAGGCGCAACAACAGCAACAACAGCAACAGAAGCAACACACTGCATGACATGGCAATTAATTAGGCGTATTTCTCAAATTATCGCCTTGGGCAGGGCAGCGATAAGGCCGAACCGCGTAAACGACCTTGCATGTCAGCGTCAACTTTAGATATCTTATAGAATAGTTTAAGGTAGAGTTTAAAGCATTATCTAACTTTCATAACTCGACTGCTACCAATATTGCTCGACGGTTAACCGGGAGCCGCATTTCCGCTTTATTTGCATTGCTTGCCAAGTTTGTTGTGTTTTGAACTTGAGCTTCCTGCCACGGCTGATGCTGCTCGTGCTGCTGTTACTTCTGATGTTCTCTCGCTGCCGGTTGTTGCTTTTCCTGTGAATAGAGCGCTGCATAAGGAATTTGATTAAGACAACAAGTACGGCAACTGTAATACCAAAAGCAGCAGCATCAGCATCACCAGCACCAACAATAATAACAACAACAACAACAACAGCAACAACAACAAGAATAGCCCCGTTGATGATGTTACTGCAGCAGCTGTTGCTGCCGCCATCGCTGCCATTTCTATTGCTGCTGCCAAGCTCGTCAACGCAATGCTGTCGAAGGCTTATGCGGATATTGTGCATTTGCTTTGAGTTTAGCCCGGCATTTGTTTTCGCTCTTAGTTAAACTAGCTTATTGTTGATGTTGATGCTGTCTGCCAGCAACTGGCTTTTCATGTTATTGTAGATATGGCGGCTGCTGCTGCTGCTGAGCTTCATCCCTGCGCTGTCCAGAGGCGCTGGGGATTGTTTTCTCCTTGTACGTGATGAAGTCTTAAGCATATACCGCACAATGTGCCCTGCATGCATGCCAGCTCTAAGTTTTCAGATGCTGTACATTCTAATCCCGATTAAGCATTCGCACATCGGAGTAGAGAATATCTTGGAAATAACCAAAATTGCAAAATCATCGAAACCGAAAGAACCATTTGTTTCTTGTCACCCACAATTGCAGTGTATTCCCAGAACATTCTACGCTTTCTTATATATATTTAAATTTGTAAATATTTTAAGCAGACCTGCTCTTACCACGTCGAGCAACAGCGGAAGCAGCTCGAAACTAAGGCATAAACACATTTCCATACCGTGATGTCCTTGCTATATCGCGCAGGCTCTCGATAGCGGAGGCTCTGTCGCTGACACCGTCGAGCAGCTGTTTCCAGGCACTTTTGCTGCGGTTGCCACGCCAGGAATATAATATTTAAATATTATTTTCAGCGCACTTGCTTTGCAATTGGAACTCGCTTTTGTCGTCGTCGCCTGTTAAATGATATAATTGTTCAAATGAGGCGAGCACAAGCTCATTGTTTCCACTTCAACTACAGTTGTCGAAAGTTTTAATAAGCCCCTCGAAGCTGTGAGTGCCAGCGTGCCATCAAAGTCCAATGACACCGAGGCTTTAAACTAACACAGCTGTCAATTGGTTTGCCGGCACATTGGGTGCATAAAACTTTACGGTCTCCACATAATTTTCTCAAACGTAGCTGCACGCACTGTGCGTGTGCTTAAAGTGTGTGTGTGTGGGGGGGGGTATGTATGTGTGTGTGCAGGTAATTTCGCAGTCATTTTGCATTTGTAATAAAGCAACACGTCGTCACAGACATCGGCGCCCGCACGCACGGCTGAGGTAATTACGAGGCCGCAGCCGTCGAAATCTCACCGAGCACACTTGAACTCATTTATATGCCGCGCAGGCTTCTTATCAAATATGAAACAAAGTCGTAAAGGATAATTGGACTTACAATGTGTGAGTGGGACTCGCGGCGCTCGTATACGCATAATGCAAACTTATCCACCAAATCCGCTCAACTCCATTAAAACACGTCGCCAACTTGAGCCGTAACAGATTAAAGCTTTACCATTTATTCAGTTGATTTCGCATATTTCCACGGAACTGAATGGGCCTGAGGCGAATGATTTTAATTAAAAAACAACTTTGGGCTGTCAGCATCACATACCAGCATCATATTTCATAAACCATTATTCAATTATCGATATTTGCCTTAGCTGTTCCATATTACAGGGGGCCTCATAGATACATTCGTCTCATCGTCTCCTCTAGTCAGCAGACTGCTTGACCGATTGCAAATAGGTTTGCTGAAATATATATTGTACTTAAATTCGTTTTAATGCGTGACTGGCATGTGGAAAGCCCTCCCTTGCTTGGCTTTTCATGTTTTCACACATCAATCATAAAATGCAAATATTTATGTTACGAGTTTATCTGTGGGCAAATGGCTTTTGCCTTGTGGCGCATTTAACTCAGCCCGACGCGTGATACCCACTTCTGCAATCTTTTAACCATTCCAACTTCTGCTTAATTCCCATTTTTTTTTTTTTTCAGAAACTCAAACCGAAAGTTCCGGCGCCATATTAACGAGAATGCGCTCGGCATAATTCGCAGTACTCTGAACAGCGGCGGCTTCGGTCCTCAGGCACCCAACTTGAACAAGGAACTGGGCATCCCTTCAAACGCCGGACCTATGAACCAGCTGGCAGCCGGCTATCAGCGTCCGCTGTCTCATCCTGGCGGGGGCAGCGCTGTGGCCGCCGCAGCGGCAGCTGTGACTGCCGCTCAGATGGAGAAGGGCATGTTCAGCATTAGTCAGCTCAACCTGGAGATAACGGAGCAGCACGTGAGCACCAATGGCCGCATGGAGATCACATGTCTGTCCACAATACCGGCGACGGTTGGCCAGGGCGAGCAGTACGCCGACTACAAAACGTATTCGGTGAAAGGTGAGTGTGGCCTTCGCTGGAAGGCGTGATGTGCATATAAGCACGGCTATTGAGATGTGTACCCACCCAAATTAGCGTATTACACCTAAGCATGTTTGCCTGTATTTATTGTGCGCTACGTGTAATGCTGTGCAAGAATAATATTTGCTTTGGGGCTCGCATTATGAAATTGCGAGCAATGAGCTCATCAAAAATATGGCTCGTTTGCATACGGGCGCCCGGCATGAATGTGAGTTATGCAATGTTGGTCGGAAGGAATCTCGGCCGCATTTACACAAAATAATTTAGCTCCATATGGCTGCTGGGTTAGACAGCAGCCCAGTTAAATGTGTGCCCATTGTTATTGCTGTGCCTGACTGCCTGACTGCCTGCGTCATGATGACTCTCACTGAGAGACACAACAATAAGATCGCTGGGCCAAGACAGCAAAAGTCAATGTGGCAGCGTTTTTGGCATTTTAAAATGCGTCCCTAATTTATATTTCTGCCGTTGACTTTACAGTCGGGCACCCCTAGAGCCACCGCCCACCCATCGCGCAATGTGTGGGCTTGTGTCATCTATTCTGTTTGCCTACGTTTATTTTTCGCTTAATGCCGCCCAGCCCATATTACCGCAAGGCGGGCAAACAAAAGTTAATTTATATATTTGCTCGGCTTTGTTTGCCTACACGCTGCCTGTTAGCACTTGCACCCACTAAAGCCGTTGACTCAGCCAGTGCTGTAAATTGTCTCAAATTGCATGAAATAATTTACACATTACTAGACCCATGACTCAAGGCGGTCGTTGGCCACTGTCGCTGTCTCTGTCTCTGTCTCTGACTCTGTCTCTGACTCTGTCTCTGGCTCTATCGCCGTCGTCGGCGGTTGCTAACGGCCTGTACGGCTCTTGAGTGTCCCCTAAACCAAGGGGCGTATGCGTGTTATTTATGGTGCGTGAAGTGCGTCGTTTATTTTGGCCACTTCACTGAGAAGAGCGCTTCAATCCCTAATTGTTTTTTATGCCACCAAAGCCACAGCTACTATCATTTTGGCTGCATTGATTTTATTAAATCGTTTTCACAGAAACTATATTAAAAATTTTATATCCACTCTCTGCGAAAGCTTAAAATTTGATTTGCTGTAGATCCATGATATTTGTTTTTAGCTCTCTCAGCACTATGACCTAATTGAATTCCCAGTCCCAGGAAAAAATCATTTTGCGTCACTCAAGTCTTGATGTAAAATTGTTTCGAGCACAGGCCAAGTCTCTGCTTAAATTTGATTTTCCCTTATCTTCGTTCTATTTCGTAAAAGCTCTTTCCACATTCATTATCGTTGCCTGTTTTTAGCTACGTTGTCTCACAGACGATAACTCTGAGGGGTCTAATTAATTTTGTTAGGCAGCCCTGACTGCTGCCTGCATCTAAAGTATATTTTCCACCTGATCCGACCATTGTTTTTGACTTTCTAAAGCTTTATTTATAATGTTCGTCTCTCTTTTGACCTTTGCAGTGGAGGTTGAGCGACACCAGGCGTCCTCCACGTCAACAGCGCCACCTAGCATTGGGATGGCAGCGCTTGGTAACGGTAATGGACACGGAAACGAGACCTCTGCAGGTTGGAGGGCGCGTGGGGCTGTCCTGACGCATCTGTGGTCGTTGGCGCCCCTGCTGATATTCGCATTGCTGCCACTGAGCTATTAGGCAGACCCAACGGCAAAAGTTGCAACACAAACTGCTGTAGGAGAGCAGACCACCGAAGTAGTAAAGGTTAGTAAAGGTACAGTACACCCAAACCGAGGGCACCGATTGCAGCAGAAAAAAAAATATATAAAAAAAAAAAAAATAAAAATAAAATGAAATAAATAAATAAAAATAAATAAAATAGAAAGAGAGAAAAGCACAACAAAAAGTCATACACAAGCGTTTGGCTTGCACACACATATTGTAGACCAAATTTAATTTATTTCAGTGTAATTAAGCTGAAAGCATGCGGAGTGTGTGAAGAACAGTAAGCCAGGCAAACATTTTAGAGCGAGTGCATAAACAATAACATTTTTTGTCTCGTTCTGGCAAGCTAATTAAATGAGTTTTTTTTGTAAATAATTGCCGGACTGCAATTTTGGTATTCAAAACGAAACAGAAAACAAAAATAACTGAAAGAAATATTTGTAATTAAGTTGCAGTCAAATGACAGCAATGAGAATCTGTTTCACTTTCAGCAGAAGGCGATTTTATAGTGTAGCGTAATTTGTGTAAAGCTTACAATTGAACATTCCTTTGCCCCAGGTCCTGAGGATGTCCTGAGAAAAACAGATTAACAAAACGACAAACGGTTACTTTGCTATTTGAAGGTCAGTCAGTTGCAGTTTTGAGCCTGGTCTAATATTTGTGGTAATTCGCCAGCAAAAGAGAGAAAAAATAAATGTATATGAAACAAACAATTGAATTAGTTAAACAGAGTTGACGGAAAACTTGAGCAGTCGACAGACTCCTTGGGTTCAAGTACCTAAAAAATGCTAAACAAAAGGAAAAATGCTAAACAAATGAAATTTAAAAAAAAAAAAAAAAAAAAAAAATTAACAAACAAAAACAAAAGTTATGCAAAGAAAAGGATATTTTTTATCGTGTTGTAATGCTTTGGCTAATAGCGAGATGGCAAATCTAAGGCTAAGATTCGGTCGAAATTGAATTTGGGCCCTAGCTACCGAACATTAATTAACCCCCACAAAGAAAATTAAATGTTTAAATGTAAAATAATTAGACAGTTAAACCAAGAAGCTTACAAATACAATCAGTGTTGAAAACATTTTGAGAAAAACAAAAACCTTAACAACAACAAAAATTAACAAAAACAATACGAAAAAAAAAACAAAAGAAACGTGAAGAAAAGGCGTTGAAATGGTCGCAATCTGCCGCACGTGGCAAATCAAATAAAGGGTCACCCTAAAGGGGTGAACTCAGGCTGACGCGCAATTCGCCTGTGCTGGTGTCGGTACGCCCGGTTCCCTACACTTACACAGCTTATTTATTTCCGTTCATTTAGTCCTTAATTGCGTTTTGTAAATTGTTATTATCGCAATGGATCTGTCTAAATTGTGCGAGTAGTTAGGAAAATATATTCATTTGTCTTTTGCAGTTGGTTATTTTTTTTTTTTTTTTTAGACGTGGCGAGATATTTCCATGTCTATGTCGGTGTTTATATGTACGTTGAATAGGGTATTTTTAAAAGCGCTTTAAATGTCTATTGCTAACTGAAAAACTGTAAACGCGTAGCACTCATTGTAACTAAATATATGTATCTATACCAATTAAGGCAGAAGGGAGAACTAAGAAAACCAATAGGTAAAAGCACAGCGCAAAGTAAATATGTGTAAAGCAAGTAGCAACCTAGTATATACACTTCAACAATATACACCAACCTATAAATATGCGTCTACATAAGTGTGTAACTATTTAGAAGTTAGGTAAATATTTTTAACTCCACAAAAACTAAAGAGAAATGAAAAGTGTATAAAATTTATTACACCTGCAAACATTTTACTACAGTTCGAAGAAGTAGCAAAATAAAAAACATATAAATATACATACATATATTAAATGAGAGGCCCCCCAACAAATTTCCGCAATAAATAGAAACATTTTTTAAAACGGTTGTTCAAATCATTAGTTAATAAAATATGCGGTATACCCTTAGTTTCAGATAAAATTGAAAAAAAAAAAAAAAAAAAAAACAAAAACAGAAAAATGCATTAATGTAGTTTATACTTAATGCTTTAAGGACTACATACAATTTTTATAAAAAAGAAAAATAAATGGTATAACAAAGTACATATTATATATTAAAAATATGGCTAAAATGTCTTATGCAGGTATTGACGTCTTCCTATGCTACGCTGTCTATTATTAACTGAACAAGTAAAACAATTGAAAAATTTATAAAATATACATTAATTAACTAGATAATAGGTATATTCTAATATATGCATGCATACATATATTCGTATGTTCAACTTGTAACATACAAGGGATGCATTATGAGAATGTGTTAACTTGTTAATGCGACCTAAAGTAACACTTCATCCGAGGGATGGAACAACAATAACAAATATCTTTATCTATAAATGATTTATTTTAAGTGAGAATCTATGGACTTTTACTTATTCAATATGTTGAGCATTGTCTTCATTTCGTATTTCTTTCCCAACTTACTCTTTCATCTAATTTTTTTTAAATATAGATACAGAGGATCCTTAACATAATTTATAATTTCTTGTCTCATAATTAAGGGTAAATACATACTTCCCACCAATCTATAAGACACTCTAGCATAATCCGAATCATATCACGCATTCATGTCAACCATATCAAGTAAAAATTCCTTTAATGTCTCAATGTGCATGCATGCCATACGAGCACACATACATACATATATTCATACGAACATACATACGAATACATTCAAACAAACCTTTCTGTCTCAGACTTTCGTGTATTAGCGCTTTAACTGTTCAAAAATAAGTCCATGCACAGATCGAAAAGCATCTTAACACCTACATAAATATTGCTTATGTGGGCAGATCAAATTCTATATTTATGGGGTATATACATAAGCAAGAAAACTCTTTAAAATGAATAAATGTAATGATTTCTTTTAAAAAGAAAATAAATAAATGTCACAGCAATTCGCAAAACATATCATAAATGTTGTACAATTTTCTGTGTTAAATGAATGTAAGCAAAAAGAACGTGTTATATTTATATATATAATACTGATGTATATACATATATAAATATATATATATAAATATACTGCGACCCAACGAACTTTCGGGAACTTATTTAAATGCATTTTGCACATTTTTCCAGTTTAAAAAATCTTCGATTTACTCAGCGCCCAGCGATGGCTTGAATGAAAAGAGCAAAAATTAATACAAAATGAATATAATTGAATTAATGGCGAGACAGGTAATACGAGTAACTAACAGAGAATAAACTTTGACAGCCACAAGCCACAACACGAAAAGAGACACAATTAAGACAATTAACAATATTAACAATTCAACATCGATATGACTGGCAGCGGCCATTGCATTAACATAATTTAATTCAATTGAAATAGTTCAATGATGCTCAATTGTGAAGCAGCAGTAATTACGTATACTGTACGTTTATTGAAATGGGAAATCAGTTTTCATATGCCGATAGAACTGGTGTATATCGAAATACACACAGACAAACATACTCTTTCCTTTGCTTGACATTATTTAAGTTAACTCATCAGCCAACATGAACACAAACAAATCTTCATACTTTACATGACTTGTTAAGAGCATATCATCGGGCCAGATAAAACATAACATTAACACGCTATAAGTATTTTTGTAATCGTAACCGTGGGTACCTACATAATTACATTGACATACATACATAAACTACACGATTCTTCCAATTACACATATCATTGCGTATATATCAAATATTTACACAAACTATTTATATAAAGAGAAAATATGAAATTAGCAAAAAACAATTAATGCCGAGTTTGTATTACACAATGCTGCAACAAAAAAAAAAAAAAAAAAAAAAAAAAAAAAAAAAAAAAAAAAAAAAAAAAAAAAAAAAACAAACATACATATATCATTTAAATCATTTATTGAATATGAAGATAAATTAAATATATCAATGCATGCTTATACACATGTGAAAAATGTCATGATTTAATATTGATTTATTGTTTCGCAATGAGTTGCCCTTTGTTAAGAATATATTTTAATAAATATTGTACTATAAATCCTAAGATATATGTAAATAGCATAAAGAGAGCTATTAAAAATAAAAACCACAGCGGCTAAGAAATTCAATTCAATGATGAAGTTGTTGTACCACAGAGTAAACATAAACAATTACGTAAATAAATATGTATTTATAGATACAGGCATACCAAACGACGCATCAGATATACACTAGTAAAAATTGCAACCTATGCAAATCAATTTACAAACATATATAAGTATATACATATACAAAAAGGTAACTGTGGAATATGTGTGTATGTACTTAATATTAAAGAGTTAGTACGTAGTAAATACGAGTAAATATGTACAATTTGGTGTCGAGCTGTCAACGTTACTATGACAAATAAACCTTTAAAAAGAAATTCCAATAACAAAAGAACACACAAATGGAAAACTCAAATGAAAGTCAGCTCTCAAAATGACGCCTGCTGCTTGGCTTGTCAATTTACTAAATCGAAATTGATATATAACTTATAAAATATGATTAAAATTATTTGTGGTAAAAAAAAAATGAACTAAACATTACAAAATAAATGTTGAAAACTGAGCCGCGCCCAGCTTGTATTTAAATTGTCTCCCAGAAGCATGGCTCCACATCATTCCGGTTGTATTTCAATTTGAAATAAAGTTGTGACAACCGCAAAAGCACAATACACAAACAGTTGCGAAGGGTAGAAAGGCAGGAAGGTTGAAAGGTAGGAAGGTAGGTAAGGTACACACATAAATCGGTCAAGGGTCGGGGTGCCAGAATGTGGTGAACAAAACTTGTGTAGCTTTGCGTTTGACGAATATCCTTTTAATCCCTTAAAATGTGCATGGAAATTGAAGGAGCTGCTCAACAATAAAATGCGTAAACAAAAACAAACAACGTGGGGGCGCACCCGGTCAGAGGTCTGGCGAAATTACTATAGGGATACCAGCAGCAGAGTGCGAGCAAATGTTGTGCAATAATCAACGAAAGGATCAACTACGAAATAAATGGCGAATCAGGGGTATCTTGGCCATAAAACACATCCGACCAGAGCCAGAGCTACGGACAAAGCTAGAGCATTTTCTTTTTACACAGTCTGTCCCTCTCTTTATGTCCTGCTGCCTCTCTCTCTCTCTTCTTTCGCTCCATCTCTGTCATTGTGTTTGTCTTTGTCTGCCTACTATCCTTCTTCGTATGCTCCGAGCGCTTCAAAGGTGCACCGAGCAGGTTTGCTTCATTACGGAATCAAAGCCGTGGGTTGCACAAATACACACACACACCAGCAGCACGTGGGTGGGTGCGAATGTGTGCTCTGCGAGTGTGTGTGTGTGTGTGTGGTCACAGATGTGCTCTATCGATTGAAAATTTGTGTGACAGACAACTGTGGCAGGCAGATGGCAAGTTTGAATGGGATTGGTCAATTAACGTCTCGCCATCAGCAGATTTCCTGAGGAAGCCATCAAAAGGGATGCCTCGGTGTCTTGATTAAGGTATAAATATTAAATTAGCCAAGGCCGACGTAGTGAGTCCTGCTACTGTTGGTGCTGCTGCTGTTGCTAATGAGCCATGTCTGTAAGTGAAAAAGGCAAACAGGATGTGGTTTATTCAGCGCTGATTTCGACCCCACTATCAGTCGCCCGGATCCAACTCTCAAAGTTGTTTAATTATACATGGCAGCGCCTAAAACTCAACTAATTGATATGCAGCAGCGACAGCAGCACAAGAAGCACCAGCAGCACCACAGTCTGGGAGTGTGGCAAAGTTAATGAGCCAAAACTGGCAGCATGTGTGCCAAGTTTCGACAGGCAGTCGAGCGGTCGCTTTGCATACAAACTCTCAATGTGCCCGAGGTCTGATCGAGAGCCAAGCGAATAACTCAATTTTCATAGAGTGGCTGTTGCACATAGCCAACCAATAAACACTTTTTGCAACAAATTCAAAACTATGCCCGCAGCAGCCGCAGCTGCAGCCACAGCCGCAGCAGGAGCAGGAGCAGGAGCCGGAGTAAAAGCAACGGGGACACAGTGAAACTTTTTGACAGCGACAAAATTGCGTACAACTGCCAGTTGCATTCGGGGCGCTCTACTGGCTACTAGCTACATTCTTTGAGAGCTGCATTTGACAGTGTGGGTTTGCATGGGAGGTTGGGGGCTGCACTGCCGGAAGCATTTGCCGAATTAACAGCAGCTGCAACTTTGCTGCAGCTGAAACGCAAAGAAACTCACTGACACACGGGCAAAACAATAACAGGTACGAAATGTCTCAAGCACATTTCAATTTGTGAGCTCCGCTCGTATACACATACACACACACACACACATACATACACATAAGCAACCAAAAACACTCGTGCACTCAAAAAGTTTTTGCCCTTTTATGGACAAATGCCAAAATATTTAGTTTTACAGCGAAAGTTTCGCACGGAACGCGCACCATTTGAAAATTGAAAAGAAATATTGGGTAGAGAGCGGAAGAAAAAAAAAAGAAAAACGAAAACAAAAACACTAAAACACAAACTGAAAATGAAAATAAAATTTCGCTTTTTTTGTTGTATTTATTTGTTTTGCAATTGGATTGCGTTGTTTTCGGCGCTGGGTTCTGGTCGGCTCACCGCAGCTGTCAGCCTGTGTGACTGATAGCGCGTGACGCTCGCAACGCTTTGCCGTGGATTTTTTGTTTGAATTCCAGCGATTTGTACGCGGTCACAGGACCCAGCTTATGTTTAGCGGATGCGTACGCTTTTTGGGGAATTGCATTTGCGCCGACTTTATATGTGCTTGAGCCAATCAAGATGCCTTAAATGATCCCAGCATTCGAGAGCAGCCTAAAAGCATGCTACACATCTCAAAGCAGTGAAAGTATGGGGCACAGTAGTGAAACGAAGAGTTTACGGATATTGATTTAGCATTTACATTTTAATTGCATTTAAGCGGTACATATATGTAAGTAGTACCTATTATTGTGTGGGCTATATATAGAAACAGTGTTTATACAAATCTTTGATCTTTTGATTTATAAGCCTTTGAAAAATCTGAATTGATGGCAGTGCTTGATGATCATACGGTATACAAAACTATCAGAGATATGCTCTCGTCAGGCTGATAGCAGAGCGAAGGCTTAATGCTGATTTAATAATTTAGTTGGTGTGCACAGCAGGTTGCTCATTAGCACGCACACTTACAGTCAGTCAGGCAGACACACACACACACACACACACACACACATATTCGAGTACTGGGTTACTTAGGCGTCTCTCACACATACTAGAACTTGGCAGGCAGCTCGAAACTATGTGGCATAAGGCACGCACACAGCACGAATTTAGATGGGAGCAGCAGAGGCATCGACTCGGTCGGTTGCCTGCCGCATATCACCTTAATTACAGGCAACAGTCTGAGTGCAGTCAGACGGCAAATGGAAGGCAGGCAAACGGCTTTTATGCTTGGTCTGTCATTGCCACACCGCTGCTGCTGTTGATGCTGCTTCTGCTGCTGCTTGTGCTGCTGCTGCTCGGCAGGCCCCGGGTGCGTACCATATTGTCGTTGTCGTTACGCTTTAGCGATTTAGCACTGTAGTAGCAGAGCAAGAAAACGGATTCAGCTTGCACTTGACTGCTGATAAGCGTGTGATTTCTGCACACACACTCACACACGCACACATATACACATACACAGAGCAGAGACACACACACCATGGCACACCAGATAGATAGACAGCTAAGCCGCACATATACGTTGAAACAGCTGCCGTCATGGCCATGAATACATGCCCCGTTGCGTTGCGTTTATGCCAGTTTTATGTTACAACTAAGTGAAATTTAAGGACTCCACTCAACAACGTTCTAAATCCACTGCATAGTTCGGGAACGGTGGATGGTGGATGGTGTCTGGTGGATGGAGGTTGGCTGGCTTGCCAAAAGGGCATTTGGGTGCGGCTTCTCACATGATGAGTTTGCCTGCTGCGGAAGCAGGAAGCCATCATTGCTAGCACACTGCACACACATATAAATACACACACACACACATACACTCAGCTGCCGGGTGTTGGCGAAACGGTGCAAACACCGACCAAATCAGCCGGTGGAACTCATACCTGTAGACAGATGCATCAGGACATTGCCACTTATTCCGACCACAGCTGGCAACGAGAATGGTTTCCGGCCATTGTACGGCAGCTTCGTTTCGATTCTAATAACTCCAATTACAAATGGCGACTGTCTAAAACCATTGTGCATATATGACCGTTACAACCTGTGTGCTCGTCTCCCTCTCTCGCTCTGTGGGTGTGTGTATGTGTGTGGGTCTGTTCGGAACGGCGGCTGGCTCAACTTGTTGCAGGACTTTATGACATGCCTGCCGCTTTATCCATGCTATTATTTCTGGGATTAACTGTGAAGGGACAACGCACGACTGCCCAGCCAGACACCAACACAAACGCCAACGTCAACGCTGACGCCGACGCTAACGCCAACGCCGATGTCGACGTCATAGCCCTTGGCGAGGATTTGCTTGGAAAACAAATCACACATAAAACGAGCTAACCAGCCAAGTGACAGTCGGACCGAACGCATTAGAAGGAGAATATGAGCATGAATGTCCATCAAAGAAATATATTCTAAAATGAAATTAGGCCGCAGTAAAGTTGAGAAGAATTTATATCACCTAGAACATTTTATTACTGTATTGATGCTTACAAACTAATGGCGGGTGTAGGTACGGTTGTATGGGCGTGTGCTATCGTATAGGAATCGTAACCATCGGTAAGACGGCGTCACAGTTTACTTGACACGGAAGCGACGCAGTGCGGGGGGCAGGTAATCCAGTGAGGAGACCACATTGCTCGGCAGGTACTCAGAGCTGGGCGAGCGAGCTTCATTGACTGGGGCAGCAGAAGCCTGGGAGGCAAAGTTCAAAACTGATGCACTTCCTTCGTTGGAGATGCGAGAGACGCCGGGCAACTGATTATATTGATTTTGAATAGCCAGCTGGGCGTTGGCAGCATCCTGTGGGGTGCGGTATTTGACGAAGTGGACTTCGGGCTTATTGCTGGAAGTCGACTTGAGTGCGTTGAGCTGTTTGGCCAGATTGGCAGCATCCGCCTGCTTGGTCAGCACATAGATGGCCGTCTCCTGCTGGGCTGATTGCTTGGCCAGTTCAAGGGCCGCACGCTCGAAGCCGCGATTCTCAGGCGCGCGAATAAACACAATGCGCAGATTCTTCTTCAGCGAGTCGGCGATCTGCTGATTATTAATGTTCTCGTTGAACTGGTCCTCGGGCGCAGCATATGTGTAGAACTCCTTTTGGAACTCCTCGATAAGCGGTGCCGGCTGTGGAATGATGCCACTTGGCGCCGGTGCAGCGAGTGGCGCCGCAATGGGCAACGATAGCTCAGCCTCGCCCTGCTGCACGCCAGTTGCCCCTGCGCCTCCGCTGCCGGACACAAACGAGAGCCCCTCATCCGAGTGAGCCACTGGCTGGTAGTTGTAGCCCAGCTTGTCAGCGCCGCAAACGGCAGCCCACAGGAAAATCAGCTGCGGAAGTTGTGAAATGGGTTGGGTGTGATTAGCATGTCCGCTGCACTCAGTAGCATTTCAAGACTTACAATAAATCCACGCATTGTTTGTTGATGTTTCGGCTACCGCACAGCTGAAGCTAAGAGATGAAACTAATGTGGGAATCGAGCAGGCATCTGCTTTTATAGGAGCAGTCGACTGCAGTTCGGTATTATGGCTATCCACTCGCCACCTCGCCACTCCCATTCAACACGATGGGTTCGTGGCATCGGTGACCTTGGGAGCGCATGCCATATTAATTGGGTATTTATACCATGGCAAAGTCATTAAAAGCCCGCTCGAATTTAAAGACAACTAAGTCAAGACGTCGAATAGGCCTAGTCAACATATCTGGCCATTTATCTCGGCTTCAACGCCGTCGCATTTTGATTTAAATGCACTTTGCGACATACATATGTATATATAAATATGCATGGGCCGCTTTGTCTCATTCTGTTTCGTTCCCCAATCAAAATGTTTTGGTTGCTTCAAGCCGGAAAAAAACCAAAACCCAAAATACGCATCACTGCAAAGTAGCTGAGCTTATTGTGAAATATAAATAGCTACCGATTTCAGCTACAGCTAAATTCAACATTGTCCAACCCCGGGTCAGCACTAAGCTGCTAATTATAATTTTGCCAAAGTTTGCTATTATCTACCCCTTTTTTGTAGAGAAAAGTCTCAATACGGCTAATAAAGTTTTTTTCAGCTAATTAAAACATTTTAGTATTCATGAATGGCAAAAAGAATGCGAGCATTAAACAGTAAAAATGTTTTCTATAACAATTGCAAGACCGTAAGATACTCCGTCCAAAACAATACGAAATTAGAGCATGAGGAATAAGTACAGCTTCGGCAATTACTTGGTTGGAGTAAATATATTAAATTCAGGGGAAAACATTTTCTTATTGATTTTATGTAAACGGAGGTGTTGATTGATGTGTGGATGAAATAGGTATGACTTTACGGATTTGACGAAGGCTTCTTTTGTCTGTTTTATAAATATGCACAAGAAAGCACACCTTTCATTCTATACTTAGGTTTTTCATAATATACAAAAATATTTTTATAAAATAATTTTATAAAATATGTATTAAGATGCAATTACATTTTTGCTTTTTTTTTTTTGTCTTTCATATAAGACTTGTTCATTATGTTTAAATTTCATTTATTGAGAGTCGGGTAAGTTTTTCTTTAAATTTCGTTCAAAAATGCAATTGTCATGTTGGGGATCATTTCGTAATTTCGTAGTTGAGAGTGGCTAGCTGGAAAAAAGAAACAGTTTGCTAGTAATACTCATAATACTCATGGTAATGGCAGGCCAACATAGACAGAATGAAAATAAAAATAAAAGGAGCTCGCGTCAGAAGATTGGCAACACGCAAACTTGGCATCTGCTGATGAGGGTGAGTTTGGGACGCTGTCGCATCGGTTGGACCTTGGACACACCTGTGTTGATATTGGAGCAGGAATTTCAAGTCATGAGCCGCCAGCCAAGATTAAAGCACCCATGTACTTGCAGCGCTTCCTAGAGTGCGGGAAAGACCTGGCAGCTTTGACGTGACTGGCAAACTTTTTGGCAGGCGCCGCTAACGAGCTACGTTCTGCTACGTACCGGTTCTCATGTTGCTCGAAAATTCTGAAACTAAAACTTGCTCAACAGATTTGTAGTGCCAGGATGCCTTTTTTGCGTCTGCACTTCACTGTGCCACATGGCGAAGTGGAAGTATGACAATGTGCCTGTGTATGTGTGTGTGTGTGTGTGTGTTTGACCTCTGCACTAAAACAATTTGCAAGGCAACATGATGTCAGCCCTAGAGCCGGTGTCAGTGCCGGCACTGCCATAATTTAGTTGAAACATTCTTAAAGCAACGCCTGTCGTTAATCTTAACGGATGGATGGCAACGCAACTTGTGGGACAGAAACGTAGGGCCGACCCAGCCTCGCGCATAGCTCATTAAAAAGTTTTCCAGCGACAACCTCAACAGCAGCAGCAGCAGCGCCGGCGACACATTGCTTAAGAAAATGTTTGCATGGACACAGGTCGTTCATGATTATCTAAGAGATATCTTAAAGATAATCCGTAGCTGTGCGCACCGTGCCGCAAGAGCTCAAAAGTGAAATGTTTCGACTTGTCAACCAAGTCATTAATTATTCATAATACCATAGCTGCGGTGAGAGACCTCAGTCTGAGTTGCCCTCTCGATTTCTAAATATAAATTTTTTTGTACACCCTAACAGACGGTACCACAGATGACAAATTTGGCAAATATATATGTTTATATACAAATATTTATAAATTGTATATTTAAACAAATATTAAACTTAAAGCTGTAAAAATGAATTTTCTTTGTATGCTTTAATGTTATATTATTCAGTTTTTAAGTACAAAGAGTATTAAATCTTCGCCGGTTACAACTTTGATACAATTTCTTGCTTTGATCAAAATCAAAATGTAAATTATTTGTGTGAAAAGAAAAAAAAAATCAAAAAAAGACAAAGTAGTGGCTATGATGAGATTCTTGGCTGGCTGGCTAATCGCGCTTCTCGCAATCGAGTAGAAATATTTACATTGAGACTGAACAGCCATAATTTTAATTTGCATAAAGACAATAATTATTATTAAAACTTGTAATAGAAATGATGAAATAAACTAATTATGATTCGGTAAAAGCAAATATTTGATTAGCCAACTTTTACACAATATTAAAATTTGCCAAAGCAATTTCATTCATAATTAAAACTCGAAATGATGTTAGCTAATAAAGGAATATTATGTGTGCTTTGCATTGCATTTATCTACATTGCCGAGCCGAACCAGATAAATTCAAATACACTGCCACAAATATGTTTGTTTCTTTTAATATATTATTTATTTATTTATTTATTTAGGTATTTCTAATGACGTAGTATTTAAATTTAGCAGTCTTTGGCACTAGTCCAGTTACAGTTAGTCTAACGCCGCCGCGCTGGGGGCAAATATTGCCGAAACAGCGCCTGCAGCTTGGCGGCTTCCACTTCGTTCGCCTGCTCGTGAGTCTCGTACTCTGCGCTGCTCCTGGGCAAGATCTTGAACACCACTGGATCTGGCTGCGCTGGGTGCGGCGGTGGGTTGAGGCGAATGACACTCGCCGTTTCCACGGCATGGCTGTAGCTTCTGCCCGGCAACTGCTCGTATTTACTTCTTAGGCTGTTTATGGCCCGACTGACATCGGTGGGCGTTCGATACTTGACAAAGTGAACGCTGGGCTTGAGGCCCAACTGTTGCTCAATGGCTGCCTTCTCCTGCTCCAAAGCGGTGGCATCCATTTGCCGCTGGAGCACATAAATATCCAAAGCATTGCTTGCCGCCAGCTGCTTGGCTGTCAGCGTAAAGATATTCGACTCTGGATTGCGTATGAAGATCACCTGCTGCGGAGGCGTAAACGCCTTGGCCAGCTGGCGAGCTGCTTGCAGAGATAAGCCCTGGTCGTCCTCCGGTGGCGCACTGTAGCTGAAGTATTCCGTGGCGAGAGGCCGACGCGTTGCATACTCATTGCTGGCTGGTAGGTAGGCGTTGTTCAGTGCGAGCGCCTGGCCGGTGCAGAGGAATATCATAAAGCTCTGTCACATGAAAGAGGGGGAAATTGCGTAAGATGAACGTTCCAATTAGTGCTTCGATCGATTCTCTTACCATCAGGCGACGCATCTTTGCTGGAGCTTAGGACTTTCTACGTTGGCCAGCAGCGGCTGGTTTTTAGCGCTCGAAGCTCAGTGTGATTATAACCAAGTCACACCAACAAAACCATCCTTATATACGACACAAACAACAAACCTCATTTATCGGCTGCGTTGGCTTTGTTTACGATTTTTTTCCTCTGTTTTTCAGTGGCTTTTTTTGTGTTTATTGGTTTTTAAAAGATTTTTGCAAACATTTGTGCTCGGCTCGTTGTGTTAGCCTGATACGATTATCCATGTTAATATCGTTCAATTTGAAAATGCAAATTTCGTGACTAGCCAGAGACAAAGCCAGGCCAAAAATTCATGTGAATTTGACCTGAACTCAGCTTGAACTTGAATTAATTCGCATTAAATTTACAAATGAGCTCCCAATTTAAATTAGTTATCTAATTTTTCCATATACGACTGCTGTCCGCCACCGCAGACTTATACATTTGTCCGTCCCGTACCCCGCAATAGCCCTTTGTGCCATACTTTCACTTGAACTTGATTTTATGATCGAGTTTTATGGCCGCATTTTGGGCTAATTTACACGTGATTTGTGTATGTTTTGTTGTTTGTAAAAGGCGAACGAGCCTCGCTCCAGATATTGGCCGATAAGCCTCTTATAGAAATTAATGGCTTTATCTCCGAGCCCCCTCTTCCCAATTGTGGCAGACACAAAAATATGTTTACGGTGATTTTTTGATATTTATTGTATTGAAAACTTTAAACAAACTCAAGTCTTTTGGCTTTACTATTTTAATGTCTTAATTCGATATGGGATTCTTAGAAGTAGGCGCGTCTTCTGCGCTTCTGAGGGGGCAAATAGCTATTAGAGATGGCTGGCAGATAGGTTTTCGCTGGCTTCTCAGTGGGAAACACCATTCGACCATTTGAGCGGTGTCGTTCGTTGACTCGAAAATCGATACGTCTTGATTTCGCAGTGCGTGCATCCAAGTCGTAAGGACTGGGTGCCAGTTGCTGTTCAGGTAGGGGCAGTGGCGGCAAATCAAGATTGCCTTGATCTGCACCACCAAAGTAGGGCTGTGGAGCAGCGCCATAGTTGTTCGTGTAGGGCGGCAGGTAACTTGATCCTGGTGCTGGAGGCGCACCGTAGAGCTCCTGAGGATAGGCGCCTTGATGCGCTAGTGGTTGACTTTCCGGATAGTAGGTCGGCGAGGGAATCTCCGTGGACTGCGAGTAGCCCAAAGATGGCTGCTGTGAGGATGGTAAGGACGGACTCGTTGCTCCTCCGTACTGCGCCTCAATGACCTGTTGCGCTTGCAAAGCCTCCTCTTCCGTCCTATATTTGACAAAATGTACTTGAGGCTTGTGTTTGTGCTGCGCCTGTGCGGCGCTCAATTTGCTTGCCAATTCATGAGGATCCGTCTGCTTGTTCAGCACATAGATGTCAGTTTTATCTTCGCTGGTTTGTTTGGCCAGAGCGTTGAGGGCACCTACGACGGCCTTGTTCTCGGGCGCCTTAATGAACACAACCTGTAGATTTTTCTTGGAGTGAGCCAAAATCTTCTGCTCCACCAGATCAGCCTCATCGACGGCATCTTGGGGTGCTTCGAAGGCATAAAAATGCTTGTGGAAGTCTGCATGGTCTTGATAATGACTTGACACTTGGTATTTGTCAACCAGTGCACTAGAATCGTATCCAAATCCCGTTGAGTTTGGCTCATAATTGTAGCCCAGCTTGGCTGAACATATTGCTATGAGAGATAAAAACTGGAAAAACTATATATCAAAAAATATTCAAAGATTTTCCTTTTAGCACTGCCTTACCACAACTTTCCGCATGCTGTAATCTCATCAAAGACTAACGCTCAATTGTTAAGCAGATCCCAACCCAAAGAGCTTTTTATAATCTTTTTTGCTGACTGTAATCCCAAATAGGGAATAATGATGTCAGCCGCTTGCCAAACATAGTAAATAGGTTACCCAGACACAGTATTACAAAATCTGCTTTGAGGCATAGTTGACCTAGTATTAAAATTTCAGCATTTCGTTATTAATATTATTTATTAAAATATTTGCAATCTTAACTTAAAAGAAATGGTTAGGAATGGTCTAACATATGCGTGGGAATCAGTTATGGTCAGTCTGGGGGCTTGGATGGTTTTGCTCAAGTCCACTCCTAAGCCCGGCTACGCAGCAGCGATGCGGGGAGGTACGTGTTAGCGGGCTCTTGCACAGCTGGTATGTCTGGAACGGGTGTCTTGGAGGCAAAGTTTAGGACAGGTGCGACGCCTCCATTCTGGTGAGTGGAAACACCGCCCAGCTGGTCGTATTGGCCCTGAATAGCGCGCTGGGCATTGATAGCATCTTCGGGAGTGCGGTACTTGACGAAGTGCACCTGCGGCCTCTGGTAGTTGTTGGTGCGAAGGTTGTTCAACTTGTTGCCGAGATCGTTTATGTCGGCCTGCTTGCTCAGAACGTAGATGGCCGTTTGCTGCTCAGCAGCCTGTCTGGACAGGGATAGGGCAGCATCCTCGATTCCATTGTATTCCGGTCCCTTGATGAACAAGACGCGCAGATTCCTGCGAAGACTTCTCGAAAGCTGATCGTGGTTGATCGGTTCCTGGAAATCACGCTCGTCTGCGGCATACGTGAAAAACTCCTTTAGCAGCTCGGGCGGCGATTGGTATGACTGCTCGGCAGGAGTCGGTCCACCAGAGATTAGCGGTTCTCGGTTGATTGGTCCTGTTTCCGCAGGTGGTATATAGTTTGCTTGGTTTTGGCCAATATTGCTGGACGTGTAAGGCAAACCGGAGATGGCTGGTTCAGCGGGCTGGTAGTTGTATCCAGACCGCTCAGCGTTAGCTACGGCCAGAAGACAAAGGGTCTGCAAAAGTAGGATTCAATTCATTATATTGTTTTGCTACATTGCTGATCCGAGGAAAACTCACAATAAGGACACGCATTTCGTTGGCTTTGGGATAATACTTGTGAACTATTAGCTGATTCGAGCTAAAGTATGCATATAACTTTATCACCCACGCTTTTTATATGTTTTATCGAAGCGTTTTGCAAATGCTGTTGTTTTTCGCACCACAATCAATTTTCGATATCGTTTATATTGGTCATCTTTGATTTGTGCGCCACATTAAGCGCTATTTGTCAATATCAATTCGCTGCTCACTTTTTTATTTCTTTTCGCTGGTTTTGCTTTTATATCACAGCATATATTATTTTATCGCTACTCCCCAATTCGCATCTTTAGTCATTTCTTTTTGTATCGCCTCATCACATATACCAATTTCAGTTGACCTACTTTTTTCTCAAGGTCAGTGTAGCCTTCGGGATACTAGATAAGAGAGTATATTTGTATTATAACCCGTATTATATTTTTTCGCCAAAGCAAAATTGCAAATCCATAATTCCTATGTCTTACAACACATTGGAATTCGCTATCGACTTCGTGAACAATAACATTGTTTACATATATATTTAGAAATAAGCGCAACAAAGAGTATTAATAGTAGCCTATTGATATTAAAAGCATTGAAATTGCATAAGGGTTGGAATAGCCAGTGATTGAGGCAGACTATGTAGAAGTTCTAGTCCTTGAGAGAAATATAGAACTGAAGAAACTGCTGTCTACGCCATTTCATAATTATAAATTTTAATTTACATAAGCTATGTATTTAGCATATCAACATTTAGCTTTATGTGTTCTAGAGGAGCGTAATGAGGTAATCCGATTTAGCTATGCATGTTTGCTTGCCTTTGTATGTATATCTGTCTGTTCGCCTGACTCTCTCCCTGTCTCCCTGTCTATCTGGCTGTCTCTCCGTCTGTCTGCCGAAGAAGTTGTCTATATGTTTGCAGCAGTAGACATTTGGTATTTATATTTAAGTAAAAAGATGCTAGAATGCTTGAAGCAGAAGAGAGTGTTCCCATTCCACTGAAACGACCTCTACCTGATGTCGAGCTCAACATTTGAGCGTGACTTAGGCTTTGAGTGAAAGTCGCCCTATATAAAGAGCAGCAGCTGCAGCATTTCTTCAGTCGCCCAGACCTGGTGGGGGTCAGTCATACAGCGCATCAAACTGAAGGCGAGTGAGTGGGGAATTAATTGGAGGAGATACCTAGAAGAAATACTTAAAAAAAGTAACTATAAAAAAATACTTAGAAGAGACAGTAAGAGGAAATACATAGAAGGCATACTTAAAGGAATTAGAAGAAGTACTAAAGATACTCAGAGGAAATGCGTAGAGGAAATACTTAAGGAAAATATTTAGAAAAGGGGTAGATTTCAGCTGGAGCATCCAGAGAGCGGGCATTGAAGAGGTATTTTCTTATAATGTACAATAATTCCCAACTCAAGGTATTTCACTTAATATCAAAACCTTTAACATTTAGTAAAATGATTATATTTACAATTTATAAATTTAAGTCAATCATTTTATTTGCTTACTAATCAAAAAACTTTTGAAACAAATCTAGCTAAAAATAGCTTTAGAAACAAACTTGCGGAGTTATATTATATGCATAAATAACAGAAGAGACGCCAGAATTTGCTATAATCTGCATTCACGTGCTTAGTTGTTTTCTTTTGTTTTTTTTTTTTTTTTTTTACGGATATATCATGTTCGGAAAATAGCCAACTGGATTTCTATTTCAGCTAACAATTTGCCAGCGATCGTATTTATTGATATTTCGAAGAAGAAAAAAAAAAAAAAAACGAAAAACAAAACTATTGTAGAGTTTTATTTTTTGTTTATGCTAATCAAGAATAGTGGGTGCTCTTGAATACAGCTTCTATTGTGTCGGTTTGTTATTGGGCATTCATTCGGCAGCTCTGTTATTACTCATACATAATGCATTGAATTGGTTTTGGCTGGCCTAGTCACGATAGTTCCGTCTTGCAGTTGCCATAAATTTAAGTGCCAATAGTTTGTCTAGCCTTTTACTTCACGCATATTAACATTTTAATTATTATCGAAAAATGTTGTTTGCGCCTCTTGTACAATAGGCGTACACACAATATGCAAAAATGTAAATTTTATTGTCTTCCACTTTGCATTGATAATACCGTCACAATGATGGAATTTTTATAGCCCTAAGTAAATACCGAATGCTTTAATTTAAACAGTAAACGTGGAAATGCCTCCTTAATATTCTAAGAGACTCAGTTCTATTGTTAAATATGGGATCGCAGATAAAAAAAAAAGGAGGAATAAATTTTAAATAAGAATTTTATTTTCAATATTTGACAAATCAATAGATAACAATGGGTTAACAAAACAAAGGTGGTTAAAGAATCTAATTAATACCGGAGACGGCGGAGCACAGACGAGGGCAGATAGGAGTTCTCTGGAATTCGTGCATTTGGCTGACGATACTGTGGCGCCGAGGCGAAGTTCAGAGCACCAGCTACGCCTCCATTGGTGGTCTGGCTGCTGCCACCCAGAGAGTCGTACTGCGATTGAATGGCACGCTGGGCATTAGCGGCATCCTCAGGGGTGCGGTACTTGACGAAGTGCACCTCGGGCTTGTTGTTGGTGTTGCTGCGGATGGCATTCAGTTTGCTGGCCAGATCTCCGATGTCGGTCTGCTTGTTCAGAACATAGATGGCGGTCTCCTGCTGGGCGGCCTGCTTAGCCAGAGCCAGAGCAGCGTTCTCCAGACCACGGTTCTCGGGTCCCTTGATGAAGACAACACGCAGAGCTTTGTTCAGAGAGCTGGAAACCTTCTCTAGAGCTTGTGGCTCATCGAAGTCCTGTTCGTTGGCGGTGTAAGTGAAGAACTCCTTCTGCAATTCAGCAGCAGGGGCAGGGGCGTTGTAATCGACTGGACCATCTGCTGGCACTTGTAGGCCGCCGAGGCCGCCGAGGCCGCCGAGGCCGCCGAGGCCGCCGAGGCCACCGAGGCCGCCGAGGCCACCGAGGCCGCTGAGGCCGCCAAGGTTGGAGCCCAGACCAATGTTGTCACCGCCAAGACCAGAATCCAATCCGCCAAGTCCAGCCAGGCCGCTGCCCGACAAGCCACCGATCAAACCACCGCCGCGTCCTCCCTGGTTGCCGTCGATCAAGCCACTAAGTGAGCCACTGCCGCTGATGCTTCCAATATTTCCAATTCCGCTGCCAGGCCTGAACGAAAGTCCTGATGTGGAGTGTCCTACCGGCTGGTAGTTGTAGCCAAGTTTATCGGCGCAGGCAACGGCCACAAGGCACAAGACGACAAAGACGCGCATTTTTGAGGTTCTAGTTCTACTCGGAGCACTGAGCACAGAATGATGTGGTCAAGAGGTGAGGTGCCATTTTTATACCAATATGTATGTCATTCTGAGAACAATCGTTGAGCAATCATGCATGAGATCAAGATAAGGTTCATCATATGTCGCGACATGTCGCCCCAACATGTTGTCGAACATGTTTATTTAAGGTGGCTTTGATTATTAGCTGACGCCAACAACAACATCAACATCAACATCAACAACAACCATAGCAAAAGCCACAACAACGGCAACAGCAGCCGCCTCGGCGTTGATTAAAATTTGATGAACTTCGGTTTACAAAGAAAATTTTTATGCAAATGGACAGCGCGTATTGACGCCGGCAGCGCAGTCGACACCGACAGAGGCTGAGCCCGCTGCGACAGAGGCAGCTCCAAATTGTTTGGCTGTGCGGTAGCCAAATTCTTTTGTTAGCGCATTTTGTTATGCAAATCGGGCCCGCACCGATTGAAAGTGAAACTCTGGCTAATGGCCACAAATATTTGTATTTTTGGGGCAGTATGCGAGCTTAATAATATTAAATTGCTCGACGCTACGCTTTTGGGCATTGTTCGATGTAGCTAAATGCAATTTGTCAGACAATTCATACGAAATCAATTTACCAAAATCGTGGGCAGCTCACATGCATATTTTGATCCACATAAGCAGCACGCAAACATTTCTCGATGTTGCTGGAGATGTACAAAAACAACATCGGGAGCATAAAATTATGCTGTCATAGAACTTGTATTTCCCATTTGCCAATTTTAATGCAGAGCTCAGAGTTTGGCAACCTATTTAACCCGTTGAACTCGTTTGTCTGACGAAAAAACCCAAATCCGTTTCTAAATTGAAATTCAAGATATTTTCATCGACTCGAATTCCTCTGCGAAAAAAATGTACAATCTATAATAAGCTATTTCCAAATAGTTCCATTCCAAGTAACGGGCCAAAAGATACCCATTAAACAAATTTATATATTTATTGATGTTACGACAGTCTGTTTTTTGATATTCAAATCAACATTTACGATTCCCCATGAATAAGTGGGTAAGTCAAAGCTAAAGAACAGCACGAAATGAAAAATGAAATGAAAAGGGCTCAAAAGAAATTCAATAAAATTAAAATGGGACCAAGTTTACATAATATTAATAGATTTTAATTAAAACACATAACTCAGACTTTTTTTTAACTACATGCTAAAATACTCATGAATTAATGGGAATCCCAGCATATTGAAAGGGTTTACAATACATTGGCTAGTAGCGTCGACTATAAATGATATACCCCACTTTAGCCAGCTCCGTTGCAGGGTAAAAAAGCAAACATCCGCCACTTAAATCACATTTTCAATAATTTTTAAATCAACATTTTATTTTCAAAACAATAAGTCAACAATAACAAAGGTATTCAGTTACACCAACAGAAACTCGTCAAAGGCTATGAATTAGACTCGCAAGCGGCGCAAAAGGTTTGTAGGCAAATACGTGCTGCCTGGAGTTACAGGTGGAATGTATGAGGAAATGGGCTCAGTGGCTGCCTCATCAACTATTTGTGGTGCTGGTGCTGATGCAGCAGCTGGACGTGGCGCACTGGAGGCGAAATTGAGTACGGGTGCAGCACCGCCGTCCTGATGGGAGGATGATCCACCTAGCTGATCGTATTGGTCCCTTATGGCTTTTTGAGCACTTGACGCATCCTCAGGAGTGCGGTACTTGACGTAGTGCACCTCGGGTTTGTTGTTGGCATTACTGCGAATGGCATTGAGCTTGTTGGCCAAATCATTGATATCGGCCTGATTGCTCAGGACATATATGGCGGTCTCCTGCTGGGCGGCCTGCTTGGCCAGAGCCACAGCGGCTCTCTCCAGGCCATTATTTTCGGGCCCCTTGACAAAGACAATACGCAGAGCCTTGCTCAACGAGTTGGATACCTTTTCAGATGCAGCTGGCTCATCGAAGTCCTCCTCATTCGCCGTATAAGTGATAAACTCTTTCTGCAGCTCAGGCTGCGCCGCAGAATAATCTGGAGCATCCGCAGATGGCTCAGCAATGGGCCCGCTTGGCTCCACAAGTGACGGCTGGGCTGAGCCTGCGTCACCAGAATCAGCAGCTGGGCCAAGTCCTGCTGCATATGAGGGCGACACATTGCTGGCAGCGCTGCCAGGCGCAAATGACAGTCCAGAGCTGGAATGAGCGACGGGCTGGTAATTATAGCCAAGCTTGTCAGCTGCAGTCAACGCCACGAGACAGCAACAGAGAATAACGGAAAGATGTTGCATGTTGAGTCTGTTTGAGTTGGCTATTGAATATAGAGTCTTAGTCAATGGTTTGGTGGCTTTTATGCTGGAGGCTATGTGGAGCATTTACCGTTATGCAAAACGATTGTATAAAATGGTAATATTATGCAAGAGTTCTTTTTGACTGCCGGGTACTAAATATGCAATGGTACTAAATATGCAGTCTCTCTAAGAGCTTATGGTTTCTAGCCGAATCGGAGTTGAATATCTTGATCAGCATGCCATCAGCGATACCAACACCGACACCGGCAGCAACACCGCCGGCGACACTGACTGCGACGCCATAGCATTTATATGAAATTGAATATTCTGCATTTAGCTATAATTCCCATTATTCATCTTTGCCTTTTCAGCTTTGGAAAAAACCTTCACAAAATATTTGAGTTTATCTTCGTAATCAGCATACATCTAGCTTTAATGAGCAGGTTGTTGACGGACTAGCTAATGGCTCGTAAACTAAAATTGGTGCAATACACTTGTCTATTCACTAACCTAGCTGCAATAAATACGGGATTTGAAGTGTTACCCAAAAGCAAACAAAATATGCAAATGAGGCGTGCCCAGTCGCGTTATTCAAAGACATTTTTAAACAATCTGCAAAATTATTATTGCCTTTTTTGTGAGGCTTCGCATCGACTTTGTGGCTTTATCTGTTGCTTTATGCTAATATTTGCGGGTGGAGGTGACCTTCTGAAGCCGGCAATAGACGTGGATATTGAATGGCGCCGGAAGTACCAACGACGTCATCGCTAAAAATAAAATCGCGTTTTTTCTTACCGATTGATTATCAAATTAGCTGATCGAACTGCAGCGCGGTGTCATCGGTATATAAGATAATTCGATAATTGGTTATTTAATAAATTACTTGGCGCCGCTCATTTGGCATTCGAGCCCAACACATTGCTCCTCTTTCCTCATTTGCATATCGACTCTGACCAAGACCCTACAATTTCAACCTGCCGATTTTGCACAAAGATTTCATTTTATTATATGAAATACCAAATATTTACTCTTCAAATGCATTCCAGCTCTAAACCTAGCTACCATATATGGAATTATAAATTATATATATATAATCGCACGAAGTTTTTTCTCTTTGAAAACAGCTGAATTATATTTATTATATATATATATTTTATTATTGCAGTGCTCTATATATATATATATATTCGTGCGATCTGGCCAACAAAAAGCCATTCAAGCATCAGTTGGAAGCGTCATCATCATCATACCCCAACTGTCAACTTTGTTTCTCTAGCTCCAACCTCTATTCGTAAAGCCGCCGGCGCAGTTATCGGTCTCTGACCCACCTGTCTGCCAGCAAACATTCTCCGTCGTCTTTTTTTGCTAAACTTAATTATATTCAAATAGTTAATTCCTAAGTTTTATATCTTTTTTATTTGACAAACAATTTACTAAATGTCAGGGTAAATTTAAAGACATAATATTATTTTATTTATTATTTTTATCTGATACGTTTTCGATTGTCGCAAATTTTTGTTCTGAATTATTTCCTTAGTTTTTCTATTCTTGTTATTATTATTGTTTATAAAAGATTGTATAACTACTAATCGCTTATAGAAAAATTTAAGTACCTCTAGCAGCCTGGTATTCGATCCTGAAACTGGAAAAAATATCTGAACTAACAAATTCATTGCGAATTTAACAAAGGCAAGTCTTCACATAAAAAGGAAATCTATTCTTTAAATAATATATGCGATGCGTCTACAAGGAACACGGCCGATGAACATCGCGAAGAGCAACAAGTTTGAAGCTGACGTCGATACTTAAACAAGTATTGAGCTGGGGCAATAACCGATCCATTACGCAGCCAGCGGCTTTAGATCAACTCACAACTCAAATATTTCCCCCGGTAAAATGCTACAAAATAAATAGGTGTTTCGTCATGCATAACTTATCGTAAGCGGCTAAATCAAAAGCTGTTAGCAATGTTCTGCCATTCTGAAATGTATTAATTATTGCGCGTATTTTAGTGTGAATGCGGATACTAAATAGACAGACAAATATTTGCCCGTTACGATGGCTGTGAGCTAATTGGATTCGTTTATGTTGTCGAGAACGAGTTCGATAGTTCTTAAATAATTTCTCTGCTGAATCCAAATACCTATGTTGAGTGGCGAGAACGAACATCAATAACCGGTCCCACCTTCCCGAGTTCCCTAACTCGGAAAGTTGAAGAGCTTGTCGAGTTGGATAGTTTTGCATAATCACTTCATAAGCGCACTACTTTGCATACAAGACAAGTTGAATTATGTGCCCGTAAAGAATCCATCCATTGTTCTAAGCATGATCCCACCTCGACGGCGGGGTATAAAAGGCCCGTCGCAAAGTATCAGGATTCAGTCTCAACCATTGGCTGTTCAACACACACATCTCTCCAATTCACAATGCGCTTCCTCATCGTGCTCTGCTTGTTCGGCGCCGCATGCGCCCAGTATAATTACGGACAGGGAATCGACACCGGCTCTGCCAGCAACATCAATCCGAATATTGCATATGATGATTACAGCACCGGAGCTGAGAGCAGACCCGGCGCATCCTATGGATCTTCTGGTGGTGGTCTTAACAAGGAGTTCTACACATTCGAGGCCAACGAGGAGGATTTCAACGATCCTGCAGCCAGCGAGAGAGTCCTAAACAGTGCCAATAGAGGTCTGCGTGTGGTCTTCATCAAGGGCCCCGAGAACCGTGGTCTGGAGAACGCTGCTCTGGCTCTGGCCAAACAGGCTGCCGAGCAACAGACTGCCATCTACGTTCTCAACAAGCAGACCGACATCGGTGATCTGGCCAACAAATTCAATGCCATCCGCCAGAACTCCAACGCCAGACCCGAGGTGCACTTCGTCAAGTACCGCACGCCTGAGGATGCCGCCAACGCGCAGCGCGCCATTCAATCACAGTACGATTCCCTGGGAGGAACTAGCCAGAACATCAACGGCGGCATTGCCCCAGCCATCAACTTTGCATCCCGTAGCCCCGTCTCACAATCTATCGGCAATTATGGCTCCCAAAGCGGGCCCTCCGCTTCCTACTTGCCAGCCAACATCCTACGCCGTCTCCGTCTGCGTTAGAAGTAAATAGTCGTATAAAATTGTTTCGCCGATGACGCTGGACTGGTTATTGTTTTTGTTTCCTGCATTTTATAGACGAATACACAAAAAAATCGAACCAAATGAATTAAACCTAAAATTACAATCATTTCGTTTTTGTATTTTCTTTTTTTCTTCGCATACACATTTGCCCCTGTGTGCAAAAATATTGCATTTTTATGCTCACGATTTTGATTTTTATCACTTTCCTTATAATAACATTTATGCAAAGCTGAATTATCGCAACAGGCGCCGAGACAAAAGACCAACGCAGCTTATTTTTATGCGGAAAAACATTTTGTGACATCGTCGCATTGTATTCAACGAGAAGCCACGCTAACAGCCTCGAAGATAAGCTTGTATAAATATTGGACGCTATCGCGGTATTAAACAGAAACCAAACAAACCTCAAAGCAATAGAATCTAATCAGCAGAGTCCAGGATGCGTGCCCTCATCGTAAGTTTTTGCGGTCTGTTCCCCAAGGCCAAGGATATACTAATGGACTAATTCTCCCCATCATGACAAAAGGTTGTGTGCCTGATCGCAGTTGCGTGCGCCGATAAGCTCGGCTATAACTACCAGCCCGTGGGACACTCTGGCTCAGGATTATCTTTCAATCCTGGCAGTGGAAGTGGAACAGGACTCGGCGGTGACTCGCTTAGCGGCTACGAGAGTGGACCCATTGGACTTATAAGTGGAAGACCAAGCGACTTGGACTCCAATCTGGGCGCAGGCAACATTGGAAGCGGAAATATCGGTGATCTGTCTGATCTTGGTGGCCTCTCCAGCAATAACATCGGTAGTATCACTGGAGGCAACCTCGGTGGTATCTCCGGTGGCAACCTCGGTGGTATTTCCGGAGGCAACCTTGGTGGTATCTCCGGTGGCAACCTCGGTGGTATCTCCGGTGGCAACCTCGGTGGCGGAAACTTAGAAGCTCCAGTCTCGTACAATGCCCCTGCCCCAGCTGCGGAATTGCAGAAGGAGTTCTTCACCTACACCGCCAACGAACAGGATTTCGATGAGCCACAAGCTCTGGAGAAGGTTTCCAGCTCTCTGAACAAAGCTCTGCGTGTTGTCTTCATCAAGGGACCCGAGAACCGTGGTCTGGAGAACGCTGCTCTGGCTCTGGCTAAGCAGGCCGCCCAGCAGGAGACCGCCATCTATGTTTTGAACAAGCAGGCTGACATCGGAGATCTGGCCAGCAAACTGAATGCCATCCGCAGCAACAACAACAACAAGCCCGAGGTGCACTTCGTCAAGTACCGCACCCCTGAGGATGCTCTCAACGCACAGCGCGCCATTCAAGGACAATACGATCAGCTGGGTGGTACTTCCAAAGCTCTTGATGGTGGTGTTGCCTCCTCGTTGAACTTCGCTTCTCAGGCACCAGCGCGCAAGGTTACTGCTCAGACCCCTGACAACTCATACTTGCCCTCATCGGTCTTCCGTCGCCTGTAAATAGGTGGTATTGTGCCACGACAACTTTGTTAACTCTATGGACTCTTTGTTAAATATTTCTGTTACTTGTAGATTACATATAAATGAATAAAAAAATTTCAATATTAAATATTTTGTTTTCTAAAATAATTTATACTGAACGCGTTCATCTTCCAATGGAAGCTTAGATATATAAATATGTTTCAATAGAAGAATTCTTGACCATCATACCCTATATATATGTACAATATTTATATGAAAATCTTACAATTCAAATCATCTCTTTTTAAATATGAAAATTTGCAACTTTCTGAGATTGTAAGTATTTAAATACTAACGATATATTTTTCAATATCAGACTGTATGCATTATATGTATTTTCTGTGTATAATTTTCATCTGTCCACTGGTTATACGTGGAGAATTTCATAAGTCTATGTATTTTTGTATGCTATGGCCAGCTAAAAAATATCATCATATCATAATTTTCAAACAATTCACAAACATAACATTCGATAGGATATATTTTTCTGATTAAACTTATATACAACTATAAATTATATTGTAGGAAATTTTAAATCGAATTTTACTTAGGAATAGTCGGTTGCTAATGATCTCTTAGTTCAGTTTTATTACATCAATTTTTAAAAATATATAAATATATAAAAATATATTTAAGAATATGTCGTGCAAAAATAAGATTTAGGCGTGACGTTATGAAATTAACAAATGATTGGTATTTGCCATTATTCTTCGATTGTCTATGCTTAAAGTTTCCTAGTTCTGATAATTTATCGTGGTGTCCTCCTGCTGTTCAAATAGAATTATAAAGAAAGTTCGAATAAAATTAAGTAATAATAATGGAAAACACGTTAACTGAATCAACAGACCGGAAATTCTTTACCGGACACAGTTGTAAGGTTCCATGTTAGAATGAAAGACTATCATTAACTAACGTCTTGAAATATAGTACAATAATATGTTTGATATTTATATGTATAAATATGTTTAAAATTACTTACCAAATAAATTTAATATATGTATATTTTGGTCTTAAAAAAATATTTCATTTTTTATTATTTCAAAAATAAGCAAAGTTACATGAGGAACAATATAACTAAGTCAGCTTACAGAAACAGAAAAAAAGTAGTCATTAATAATTAGAATCTAATATGGTAAGCCCATCGGAGATTATAATATTAGCTATGAGCTCATTTTTGAAAATGGCTAATTTTCGGTTTCATCTTTGGCTGTACTTCTAAAATATGACTTGCTGTCATGGCATAAATCAATATCATCAAATTTGCTTAATCAAAATTCCTATAAATGACGCTAAAATAGATGTCCTACATAAAACAAGCTTGTAGCCTTGCCGAAATATTTAGGAAAAACATTTATTTTATATTTATAATAGATAATTATGACCCATCTTTATAGCATCAATATGCATATAAAGTGTGTTCAATGTGCGCGCCACATATTAATTTTATAATTTTATATTAATTCTTGTAAAAATTATTGAATAAAAAACTCGAAAATTTGAATAACCTAAAACAATCAGCCGCAGTCACAGCCATACTCGCAGTCTCAGTCGCAGTCGCAGCCGTTGCCCACTGAAACGCAACAAAAATTCCAAATCGACCATAAAACTGTAGAGCTAAAAAGCTTTGTAGGCGGCAAAACACAGTGGCATCAAAGCGATTTCTATGCAAGCGACACCAAGGCGGCAGTTTTGTTTTTATCAGCCTCGAAGATGGATTTGTATAAATAATAAAGACTGCTCCAAGCAGAAGTCAGAAGCAAATCGTAACTTGAAGTAGAAGAACCAAGAAACATCTATTTGACATTAAGATGCGCGCTTTTATTGTAAGTACAAAGGATCTGCAACGGGACATTGAAGGATTATCTCTCCCCTTTCTTCTCTAAATACCTATAGGTTATGTGTTTGGTGGCCGTTGCCTGCGCCGATAAACTTGGCTACAACTACCAGCCGGTAGGACACGCCCCCTCAGGACTTTCGTTCAGGCCTGGCAGCGGAAGTGGAAATATTGGAAGCATCGGCGGCAGTGGCTCACTTAGTGGTTTGATCGACGGCAACCAGGGAGGACGCGGCGGACTTGGCGGATTGGATTCTGGTCTTGGCGGTGACAACATTGGTCTGGGCTCCAATCTTGGCGGCCTCAGCGGCCTCGGTGGCCTCGGTGGCCTCGGCGGCCTACAAGTGCCAGCAGATGGTCCAGTCAATTACAACGCCCCTGCCCCAGCTGCGGAATTGCAGAAGGAGTTCTTCACCTACACCGCCAACGAACAAGATTTCGATGAGCCACAAGCTCTGGAGAAGGTATCCAACTCGCTGAACAGAGCTCTGCGCGTTGTCTTCATCAAGGGACCCGAGAACCGTGGTCTGGAGAACGCTGCTCTGGCTCTGGCTAAGCAGGCCGCCCAGCAGGAGACCGCCATCTATGTTCTGAACAAGCAAGCCGACATCGGAGATCTGGCCAACAAACTGAATGCCATCCGCAGCAACACCAACAACAAGCCCGAGGTGCACTTCGTCAAATATCGCACCCCTGAGGATGCTCTCAACGCACAGCGCGCCATTCAAGGCCAATACGATCAGCTGGGTGGTACTTCTAAGGCTCTTGATGGTGGTGTTGCCCCCGCCTTGAACTTCGCATCCCGCGTTCCAGTACGTCAGGTGGTTCCTCAAAGCCCCGACAACTCATACTTGCCCACATCCATCTTCCGTCGTCTGCGTCGTTAAATTAATATTTTTAGATTAATTATATACTGACGAATGTTGTGAACTCTATTATCGCCAATTGTTAACTAATGCATAATTTCAAAAATAAATATGAAATATTTTTAGATCGAAATTGAATATGTTTTATCTAATGGGAAATCGAAACGTATCAAATATGAATATGAATATGACATTTTAAAAAGAATTACATTACATGTAAATAATTCTATTTTTCATGCTATATTGTTTATGGAACATTATTTATGTGGAGTTAAGATTAATAAATATAAATTGAAAAGAACAGAACAAAGGGTAATTTTCTAAGATACAACGAATTTAGAGCAAATACATTGTACTTAACACTTCGAATTTTGGAGTGGCTGTAATATTTTCGATTCACTTATATCAATTTATGTCAAGTGAAGAATTATGTCTGTTATTACTGAAGGTCGTTTGGTGGTCATAAACCGTTAGCTGACCTGATATTTGTTGTCACCTTGCTGGGTGCCGAGCACAATTAGAAAGGAATCTTAAGAGTCTCGCACGTATAAGCGAAACCTAAGCATAAACATGTGGAACTCTCAAGACTTACGTTTGACCAAAAACCTGTATGCTATAAAAGCAAAAGAAAAACAAAACAAATCCAATCCAATCATTAATTTTATTGTGCTGACGATCACTTTTTTGTTAATATCATTATATTAATATGCGATTCTGTATATCCGAAATATAAGGAAAAAGTCCATCATTTGGAGCTAGCTGAATTTTATGCATAAATTATAGCCCAATTATGGGTGAATCACGATCAACCAATCGCCAATCGGAAACAGACGCGACAGCGTCGGCATCGGCGGCACGATTGAAGCTACTCAAAACAATGTGTTAAATGTGTTAAGAGCGAAATTATGTTAACAGATTAACAGCATTCCAAAAACACGCTGGCCAATCACTACTCACGAATCTTTGACGTAGTCGTGGTCGTGGTCGCAGTCGTCGTCCGACTCGGATCGGAGTCGGGGTCTTCCGCTAGCGAATGGCGAGCGGACGCATCAATAATTGGCACAAGAGAGCGAGACGGCTTAATTCAGTTAACCATCAACTGGGCTAAATATAGCTGCTGGCAGCGTTGGCGGTATAAAAGCTATGCTAATATTGACTTAGCCACCATTCTAGCAGAACAGTAGAGAACGGCAAGATGCGTGCTCTGATAGTACTCTGTCTGGCGGCAACAGTTAGTGCCGCTCGCTTGGGCTACAACTACAGGCCCGGCAGCACGGCCATCGTTACAGATGCCATCGACACTAGTGGCGTAGGATCTCGTCTAATATCTGGCCCAGTATCTGGTCTGGGCGGCCCAGTGCGCTCCAATGTTGCGCCACAAGCCGGCATTCATAAGGAATTCTTTTCGTTCCGTGCCAATGAGGCTGACTTTGAGGATCCCGATGCTGCGCGGAAGATTGCGGCTGCGGTGAAGAAGAGCGTGCGTGTCATCTTCATCAAGGCTCCGGAGAATCGTGGCTACGAGAACGCTGTTCTGGCTCTGGCCAAGCAGGCTGCCGAGCAGCAAACAGCTATTTACTTGCTCCACAGGCAGCCCGACCTCAACGAGCTTGCCAACAAGTTCAATGCCGTGCGCCAGAACGCCAATGCCAGGCCCGAAGTTCACTTCGTCAAGTACCGCACCCCCGAGGATGCAGTCAATGCACAGAAGGCTATCCAGAGTCAATACGACTCGCTGGGCGGCTCTAGTCAAAATATCAACGGTGGCATCGCAAATGCCCTCAATTTTGCATCGCGCTCCACTTTGCCTGCACGCGAAGGACAGATCCAGGAGCCCGACAGCAACTACTTGCCATCCTCAATTCTGAATCGTCTGCGCCATAAGAAGTGAACTTAGTCAAATTTTGTAAATAATTAGGAAATGTTGAATATTGATCGATTTGTTAAATAAAACTATTAGAACTTGTTTACTTTTAGCTTTAAACAACGTTTACTTTTCATGAAGAGACTAAAAGAAGAATGTGATACTGAGAAGGTGAAACAAATGGATTTTGATATGATTGATTTAGGTATTACTAATTTTTGTCGTTTATTCGTCACGCTTTCGATGTTATGCTAATTCTACAAAGATTTCATATCTATCGCAGAGCCCACTGCCATTCATTTATCATATTTCTTAATATGTGCTGGATAAATACCTACATACATAGTAAAGGCAACCTTCTTATTATTTTCTGTTTTGGAAATGCTGATACAGTCCCATTAATAGTATCAATTAAAAATGTCTAATGATTCATTATTAAGTTTAATTTATTATTTATTCGAGATATGATATATATGGCAAATTGTAATAAATAAATAATATATATTTAATATATATATATATAACACATACAAATATAAAATATACTAAAACTTTAACACTCATTTAGTTAATACTGGGACATGCCTGGCAACTATACGATTCAGGAATCTAGCTTCAGTAATTTAACTTCAACTAAATGTTCATGGGACTGTATCAACTAAATATTTGCAGGGTATTTTAATGCAATAATTTTGTAAAAAAAATCAGTAAATGTAAATGTGTTCTGTATATGATAAGACTTTTACGTTCGAAATAAAATGTAGGAGAGGGAATTTATTTAAGCATTATTCAACAAAAACTAGGTTTAAAAATCAGTCAAAGATCGCTGTCATTATCATTCATATGATCTAAATCTAACTGTAAATTTAGACACGACGGAAAATCGAGGTAGGCAGGTAGGAATTATCGGGCGACTTGGCGTTAACCTGACGCACTGGACCCTGGGAAGCGAAGTTCAGAACGGGAGCAACACCTCCATTGTGAGCCTGGGAAGAGCCTCCCAGTTGATCGTATTGTCCTTGAATGGCACGCTGTGCGTTGGCGGCATCCTCAGGAGTGCGGTACTTGACGAAGTGCACCTCGGGCTTGTTGTTGTTGTTGCTGCGGATGGCATTCAGTTTGTTGGCCAGATCTCCAATATCGGCCTGCTTGTTCAGAACATAGATGGCGGTCTCCTGCTGGGCGGCCTGCTTAGCCAGAGCCAGAGCAGCGTTCTCCAGACCACGGTTCTCGGGTCCCTTAATGAAGACAACACGCAGAGCTCTGTTCAGAGAGCTGGAAACCTTCTCCAAAGCTTGTGGCTCATCGAAATCCTGTTCGTTGGCGGTGTAGGTGAAGAACTCCTTCTGCAATTCCGCAGCTGGGGCAGGGGCATTGTACGAGACTGGAGCTTCTAAGTTTCCGCCACCGAGGTTGCCGCCGGAGATACCACCGAGGTTACCACTGGAGATACCACCGAGGTTGCCGCCGGAGATACCACCGAGGTTGCCGCCGGAGATACCGCCGAGGTTACCACTGGAGATACCACCAAGGTTGCCTCCAGAGATACCACCAAGGTTGCCTCCGGAGATACCACCAAGGTTGCCTCCGGAGATACCACCTAGGTTATTGCTTGAGAGACCAGTGAGACTTCCACCACCACCTCCATTGCTGCCACCACCAGGGCCGAAGGACAGGCCGGAATCAGAGTGTCCCACTGGCTGATAGTTATAGCCCAGCTTGTCGGCGTAGGCAACTGCCACAAGGCACATAACCTGCACGCAGAAAACATGATTGAGGTAATCCTAAATGCGACTCGTGCTCAGCTCCTGGATACTTACAATGAATACACGCATCTCGAGTTTTACTGAAGTTCTTTGAGTTTAACTGCTGGGCTGCATCTGACGTTTGGAGCACCATTGCGTCTACTATTTATACGAAAACCACCAAACTATGTCACTCGACTGCGCTCAAGTTCATGCAGAGACCGAGCCGCGATGGTCGTGGCTGCTGCCTCAGCTGCTGCGGTTGTGGCTGACGCCGATTAGTTGTTGTTATTGTAGTTGATAAATCAGCATCTGCTGTCCCTCTCGATGCTCGATGCTCGACGCTCAATGCTCGAAGTATTTAGCATGAACTTCTTTTGCTGCTTTTGTCTACTGATTGAACAGCGAGCCCTGAAATACGAGCCAAGCCGATAAAAACAATGCCAGCAATGTCAACGTCGCCGCGCACCTCTACCAGGCCTATTCTTGCCAATAACGCAGTCTGCATTATGCAAACGAGGTACAGCCCTTGCTCAAGAGCAAGTCGCATTGGTAAACCACCTGGGGTCCATGATCGACCAGGCTCAGCGGCAGTATTGGTATTGCTATTAACAAAACGAGTTTAGTTAATATGGTATGTTTCATTATGATTTTAATAAAAGAAATTATTTTCCTTATACATATTTGTATGCAAAAAATGTGGAATGGCGTCGATCGATGGTGATACCCAGCTTGGATCGGATTGGCGGCGCATCAAAACAAGTTCGAGGTGATTTTTAAAAATCCCAGTCGGGTAAGTAAATATTTTGAGATAGTCTGGTGTGAAGATTTCTAGTTTGGAAATTCCCAATCGTTTATGGTGGCTGGTTTTGGCATGAATTTGAATCTTTGCAGTAATATTTGGCGAGGGTCCCCTAAAATCTATCGAGTTACAATCAAAGGAATGTGTGTGGAAAATAAAACAATGGCCCCACCAATGCTCAGACCCACAAACTGAAATAAATATTCGAATGAATCTTTTGAGCTTTTTTGCGCATCCGTTTAGCCCTCAAAGTTGTTTGTCATTTGCCGTTTGCTCTTTGCCGTTTGCCTTATAGGCAATTGGCCAAAATATAAGCCATAAAGCTAACAAGCGTTGCGACCTTGACGTTTTAACTGTTCGCCACCTGAAGGTGTGCGACCGTAATCAGCTGGCGCCAGGCGACGACCATTTAATCTGATCAGCGATTATCACGTTTTCATCATGCTTTATTGATATCATAAAAATTATTGTTTTTGACTCTTTGAGCCCTGCTATAGATAAATAAATGCCAACAACATATTTGAAATTGAATCCATTTGCATAATAAAATGTTTTCAGCATTAAAATTCGAGAGATCCATAACTAAGATAACTGAATAGATTTGCAAATCATCGGCGCCTCAAAGATGCATATCAGCGATAACTTTAGCTATGACTAATCATAGTTTGGACTCTCTAGCATAGCATATATGTATATATAAACGACTTTCGTATATAACGCCTTGGCTAGGCCTGAGATAGCCTAAGCCTCTGTTAATGGAGTGTGTAAATTCTTTTGTGATTCTCATCAATTTCTCTTTCCATTCATGAGTTTGCTAATAGTTTTTTTTTCTTTGACCACATTGGAGAAGTTGTCAATCAGGCCCCCGAGGCGAAGCCTAAACCTAAAAATAATTTGTCTTTCTTTTGTTTATGGCTCCGCCCAGACCTCTGAGCCGTGCAGCCAGCTGCTCTGCTGCTGCGCTGCTCTCGGATGGTATGCTCGGTATTTCGGCTGATGCTGATCCGGCCGCTGCCACCGCCTAGCGCTGGTGGCAATGCCATATGCAAACTAAACAAATGTAAACATATTAAAATAAACCAGCTACAATTTCAAGGTCTCGGGCGCCACACGCTCATAAAAGATGCACGCAGCCCCAACATAAAAACTAAGACACACAACAAAAGCTGAAAAGAAGAGAAAAACATAAACATAATAAAAAGCAGCAGAGGGCGCCTCACACACAATAACAACAACAATTGATAATAGCAGTTGGACAACTTCGCAGCATCAATAAATGAATAAAATGTGGCCTAGTCCGGGACGGAGCTGACAGAATCGTTTTATATTAATGTCCCACAGGCCAGACGGGTTAATAGATCTATTTTATCGAAGCGCTTATCAAGCCTTCAACTGCGAGAGCACAGCCAGGCGCGAATAATAATCAATGAAAAATGCATAAGTATTTTTTAGTAGACATTTATTGAATGCCATTTGAGCAGCGGCATCTGAAGCCTTCGTATGTTTTTTTTTTTTTTTTTTTTTTTTTTTTTTTGCATATTAGTGAAAATCTTAATTACCACCTTGCTATAAATTGGAGCATTAGTGGCTTCTCTAAATTCTCGAGTTTATCTAAAAAAATTGCAAATCTGCTGTCATTAGTTGCCGCCAGTTTAACGAGTTTGTTTAGTTCTTTCTTCGAATTTGCATAAATGTTTGAGCTGCCGCCAGCTAAGGACTTCTTTCGAGAACGTTTCCGCATGCCGAAAAAAAAAAAAAAAAAAAATACAAAGTATTAAACAACATCAAAGTGGACTTAAACAAATGCAAATTTTGCCAAGCTTGGCTCGCAAATAAATTATGGCAATTATTGCAGACCACAAAAAAATAAAATCCCCACAAGAAAAAACAAGAAGTTAAGCTCATAAAAGATCAAATTTTAATAACTCGTCACCTATAAAGAAGAAACATCAAATCAAATTATTGGCAATTTACATATCTTTGGCCAATTTATTCGTCAATTTGCCATAACGGTCGAAGTATTTTGTGTAAACAATCAAGTATCGACGACAACACCAGCTGATTGCTGGGCAAATATTTATCAAATAGATGAGCATAAAATGAATGAGACTGGGGCAAGTGCTAAAAAACATTTTATTGCCATAAATCAGGCATAAAAATTCGCAAACAATTGATGCATGTACAACTAATCACACCCTGCATACGGCGTAATAACCAACTGAAGCACCTCCAGGTAAAAAAGCACCAAATGGCTGCGCATAAATACGCAGCTTGCTGTGAGTGTCCCAGCGCCCACAAGTAGGCAATAACTTATTTTTGTTGCCTGTTTGAGGACAGAGTCTTGGGCATAATCGCGTCTAAGAACATCTTGGCAGTTAGTATGGGCTCCAGGCCATGTTTAGCTGTCGCATATGGGCTGCTTTTTATTTTAATTGCGAACATGCCTACACATATTGCTAACGCATAATGTCCTCATGGTGCTATTCACGAAGCGGCGGCCCTTTCAAACTCATTTGCGCGTAAGGATTGTAGCCAAACAGCACTTTCCAAGTGCTGTCAGAGCCACTGCCAGCACCACCACCACCACCACCAACAACAAATGTGTAATGACAACAACAACATTGACAAGCAGCCAGCGACTTTTGCATGTGCAAATTGTCGTTTAATTTATTAAGCAGCGAATACGACGGCTTTTAATATAAACATACAAAACATTAATTACACACTTACACACCCGCACACAAAGTTGTGCAAATGTTCTGTAATTAGAAAATAAAGCACCCACTCGCACACACACACACACACACACACACACACACTCATACACATACACATGCGCGTAAGCGTGAGCGCACTGTCATAAATTTGGACCACTGGGCCTAGGCTTCATGAGAGATCTCCATAGTGGAGTGAGCGTAGTGACGATAAAAACAAAACAACATGGCACAACTAATCTCCCAGCGGAGAGCATCGGGTAAGGTAGCTGGCTGCATTTGGCCGTTGGCCTCAGGTTGAAAAACGGGTTGGCAAGCTAGACAACTTTTGGTTTCGACTATCACCTGGTTTGTTGGCCTTTTCGAGGCGCGCACACCCGCTATGAATTTTATAGCCAGATTGAACTTGAAGCTGGGGCCACAGCTGATTTGCATTTCTAATGAATTCAATGCATTGGAAAAGCTACAGGCCAATCGACAGCACTTTGGCACTTTAAGAGTACAAGTTTTGAGAGAATAGTTTTATGTTAAATAAAATACATACAAAATACTGAAAGTGCACGGAAGTATATACTAAAATACCAAGTCAACTGGAATTTATAGCAAATACATAAATCACACAATATATTGCCTAACTAATAAACTAAAATATTTAAGTTTATTTTAAATATTTTTATATATTCCTCTTCATTTAGAAATCACATTATAACTAATTTCAATAAGTTAATCTCTAATGAAATTAGTTGTCACACAGGTTGCATTTAATTTATTTACACCTCTTTTATAGCCCGTAAAATGACAATTATAGCATTTTTACATATTCAGCAACCGATGATTTGTTGTCATTTGCAGTAAAGATGCGACAAATTAAATTAAATTTCCATTTAAATGAATTAATTGTGAAAATAAATGGTACTGTTGACACTGTTTAGTGTCAGTGCCGGCGCTTGCCGAAAATATTATTGTTGCATTTTATTTACTTGGCCCAAATTATGCTAGATACATAACGAATTCATGCTGGGTCAGCACAATTACCGAGGACCGCCCACGGTGAATTTTCATTGTTTGTCCGGTGACTGAAATACGGATTTTAATCGTGCTCCATCCAGCTCTCTATCTCTCTCTCCCTCTATTTGTTGCTATCTCTTTAAGTGCTTGACAAGTTCTTTGTTTAATGTTTTTTTTTTTTTTTTTTTTTTTTTGTTGAATATCTTTGTAGCGTGTTTTGATGCAAGCGAAAGTACACGGTGCGTATACTTGATGCGAGCTAGCTTGTGACTCTGAAATGGTCGTATTGAGTATTCTCTTTCGGCACTGTTACTTCTGCTCACTATATGGCTCGCCCACAGTTGCTGTTTATGCGCCGTACATGACAATGAGCTCAGGATTCATTCGGAAGCCCGACAATATCGCGCTCTGCTCACACTCGTCACGTCTAGAGGCTTTAGGTGAGAGGACCTGCCCGCGCAACCTACTGAGGCGCATATTAAGTGCTGCCATCATATAGTTATATCAAAAGTGACTTTGGCACGTGTGCCGCTCATCCGGCTGCCCGTCCACTTGACATCAGCATCCCACGCCAGACGTTTGATGTGCAGCCGATTGAAGGTGTCCAAAATGGAAAAACTAGCAAACGATGTAATAACAATTCCTGAAACGTTGTTGCTGCTGTTGCGATGTTGATCTTTGCGCGGTTTAATCAATCAGCAAAGCGTTGCACGTGTCTCTGTTTGACCAACCGCACGCGCTTCTAAGTCTGCTTAATTTATGATCTGGGTCAGTGGCAAATATATGGAAATCGAGGCCCAACCGGGGCTTACTGATGAACGATTCATAAATTCTTTGCATAGGTTATGATACTCGAATGAGCAGCGCCGAGTAAGTAGCAATGCCAAATACCTCTAGATATTTTT